GCCCGGGAGCTGGAGAGGATGCCCCCAGGACGTTACAGAGGGCAACACAGCATTCTAGAGAGTGCACTATAGAGCCTCTCTACTCCTTCCACAATAAGTTCAAGCAGCTGAGCCTCTGCCCTTGTCTACACCACTGCTCTGTTCTCCTCCTACATCGCTGGCAGCTCCTGAGGCACCTTTGCCCATTTCAGACTTCATGCCTTCTCTCGGGTTACCCTGTGAGCTCAGAACAGCTTCCCAATGAACAGCCACCAAAGGCCACATTGGCTTTCCCCGGCAGGCAATGGGAGTCTTTGCACTGACGTTAGTGGGAGCTGGATGGGATTCCTCACCTGCAGCTTTAAAAAGCTAGCAAAGGCCCATTCAGGCTGCTGCATAAGAACAGACTCCAGCCTGTCTTTGTCCTCCTCTGAATTGTCCCCGCTCATGCATCTGGGCTGTGAGCTCTTCAGGGCAGGGACACTTACTTTTCAGCAGACCTGCCTTCTGCGCGGCACTGTGGCCGACTCTGGACACGCTAAATACTGCTCTTGCTAAAGGGCATGTTTTCAGCATGCTGCTGCCTCAGGACTGGGAATGCCTGTGCTTAACCAGGAGCGTACAGCAGCCTCCCCCTATGCCAGGCTGTGTTTTCTTTGACATCACTGTGCAGAGAGCTCAGCGCATGTCATTGCTTTCAAGACTTCTCTGCTCTCTGGAGGTTTTTATACTCCCTCCTCCCCCCCCAACCCCCGGCCCTGCATTATCCGCCCACCGTTCTGGCTGGCTTCCTTCAGCACTGCTCCTGATTGTGCTTTGCATAACTGCAGTGGTTGGGTTTTATAGCCTGGGAGTCCTCGGTGTTACAGGAATGCTCTCTGTCTCTAGAGGGTTCTTTAGTAGATCCACAGTAGAGGGTGCTCATGAATCTTCAGCGTAGCTGCCGATTTTGTAGGACCAAAAGCTCTGGTTGTTGCAGACTGCAGCTGGCTTCTTTTGTGCAGCTCTTACCACTGGGCACTGTTCAGATACTGAGTTCACTAACATGTGGGAGCTGGAGGTAGAATTCCCAGCTCGAGGAGACACCTGATGGAGCTCGCACACCAAATACAGAAGTGTAGCCATGGTGGTGCAGACCTAGGGTCTTGGACGGGATCGTACTGGGGGCAACTAGCCACACACACAGCTGCGGCTATACTTCTGTCTGAGCTTGTGTGTGTCGCATTGTTTTATATTTGAGTAATCCATTGGTCTTAATAACTATTCATTGTCAGTAACTTAACAACAGTCTTCATCAGATACATAGTTAACATCTAGACAGAACATCTTAACTCCAGTCAATCTCTGTCTACCCTAAACCCATCCACCTCCTCCCACTGTCAGCTCCCACACGCTGGAGAGTCTGATCAGCCTCTTAAAGACACAGTAAGACCACACCGCTGTGCCTCTTTGAGCCGGAAATGACCCCTCCTGCTGCAGCGTGTACATCCCTGAAGTTACACAAGGCTGAATTCAACCCATTGTATTTTGCCACACCGCCAGTGGCTGTGAGGAGACGGAACCTGGGTGTAATGCATGTAAAGGGGATTCTTCGCTGTTGCTCCTGCTGGCTCCTTAGCTCCCAGATTCACTAATGTCGCCAGAAAGGGTCTCTCTAAGTCATGGATGGGACCGTTTGTGAAATCCCTTTGCGTGGCCCATCCTGGAAGGCACTGCAGAGGGAACCTGTGCTGCCCCTGGCTGCCTTTCCCTCCGCTGGAGAAACCATTCTGTGCTTTTAACACACATAGCAGCAGCTGGTGCCACTCTCCAACCCCTCCCTAGCTCAAGCTGGCTGTCCTTTTTGGGCATCCACTTTAGCGCCCTGACAGCAAGCAGCATCCCTTTGATTCAGGCAGACGGTGCAGGTTTAATTATTCTAATTTCCTTTGTCTCTTCCACACTGCATCATTCACAGGGCAGGGATGAAAAGCCTGCAATGTGGTAATTGCTATTGCAGACGCATCCCACTAAAACGCCGGGGAGAAACCTTTGCAGAAAAATCTCTAGCATTAAATATTCTGCCAAGACTAATGAGACCAGTAACTAGGACAGAGAAAGACCAGCCACAGCTGGCAGGGCCCAGTGTGCTGCTCTTAAAGCACAGAGAACACAGCAATGATATTTTTCTGGCCACTGAGGGTGTTAAAATGCATCTCCTGCCTCTGCATTCCACTCCTTAGGATTCATTCCCTTCCCTGTGTAAATTTGCAGGCCACCCACCCACCAGCTCTGCATGGATTTAACTCCTTCCCCTTCTCCTCCTAACCCTGCATAAGCCCAGGGGAAATTCTTCCTAGTCAGCCCCCTTCCTACCTGGATTGAGTTCATTTCCATCTAACCCATTCTACCATAATCTCTGCATGAAACAGAGTGAATGTTTCCCCCTAGCCCAATGGACTGGGATGAATCCCCACCTCCAGTCCAGCTGCCTCCATGTCTCTAAGTGAAGCTGGGAGCAGTCTAGGTCCTTGAGTTACAGATCTGAGCTGTGGGGTGAGCAATGACCTTGCCCTGGCTCCCTCTCTGGACATAAAGATAACACACGCTTGTTCTCTTCTCAGTTGCACCGATCCAACCCAATTCACTGCAGGATCTGGCCCATTCCACTGAAAATAGACTGGACACCTTGTGCAAACCTCACAGCTCTCATTGACCGGCTCCTTCCCTCCCTCAACATTTGATAATCCAGGAGCTACGCAGAGACCTTGAGTTACGGACAAACCAGTGCAGCCAGCGTTTGGCTCAGGTCCATTCACAGTCAAAGAGACGGGATGGGCTTGAAACAAAGTCTCATAGCAGAGCTGGTTGAAACTTGGAATTCCCTTTTGGGGGAAATTCTGATATTTCAGATTTCTTTTCTGTTCCAATTCCAGGCTCACTGACTTCCCAGGCTTCCAGGGACCCAAGGAGCCTGGAAACCCCAGGACCCCTGGCTGCGTGGCAGCTCCCAAATGGGCTGCTGCGGAAGTAGTGGGCTGAGAAGCCTGGGGGAGCCCCACCAGGAGGGCTGCTGGGGACCTTGAGCTTTTGTTTAGATTTTCTCAGGGGAAAAATCAAAATTTTCTGGCACAACTGAAATTTTCCTGCAGAAAATGTCAGTCTCGCCCAAGGTGCATTTTCTGTCGGAAAAGCCTTCTGATGGAAAATTCCCAGCCAGCTCTTCTCCACTGGCTTGGCCCAAGGAGAGCAGGAACCCAGACAGCACAGGAGGGGGACGAAGCTTGGCCCATTTGTTTTTCTCTCTTCAGAGATCACAAACTCAGTTTTGTGGTCTCCCACTCCCACAGCAGTGGTCTTTGGGTTTGGGAAGCCAATGAATTCCATCTCAGCTGGCAGATTCAGCTCCCTGACCAGCCTCCTTTAAGGTGTCTCAGATTGGTAATAAGATCACTAGTGACGTGGCCAGATTTTATCAGATCAAATTGCTTCTTAGTAGCAAATGTTACAATACCATTTGCAAGAGGTTAGGCACCAAATAAGGGACTTGCTTTAAAACATCAGACAGGTAGTCACCCTATCCTATAGCAGTACTCAGACCCATCCCCTGGTACAATTGTTATCCAGGGCCCAGAGCAAAGGACAGTCTGCATGGTAATTACTTCTAGGTTTGTTAAGTGGCATTACCAAGTAAGCTAAAGGAACCTGTCTCATTTTTATGCTAGTTGCAAGGTGCCCCTTGTACCCTATCAAACATTACAGAGCCAGATCTTCAGCTACTGTAAATCAGTGCAGCTTCCTTGCCTGTGATAGTTCTACACAGGTTTACTCCAGCTGAGAATCTGGCCCCCAGTGGTCCTGTTCCCTCCGACATTTAGCTTTACAAGGGCACATGTGAAACATTTCTTCATATGAAACCATGCTGAGAGACTGGTTGAGACTTAAATCTTTTAAAGAAAAGCTGATGTTTTGGAGCAAGCATTAGAATATATCAAGTCGAAGGCAAATCCACTTACACCAAGAAGTTGTTCTTATCTCAGGCCTTACTACTGTGTGTGTATGCATGTCTGTCTGTCTGTCCCACTGCCCCCTGCTGGATGGAATCAGACCTGCTCAACTGTGTGTCATCAGCCCTGTATTGCTACCAGTGGATGGAGATACTCCTTCAGCTGACATAGTAACAGTCTATGCTTTTGAAGCAGAAGATCTGGGTTCTATCATGGCAGTTGCAGTGTAATTCTAAGTGGCCAAAGCAAATAGGACAAGTCTTTCCCATCTGATATTTCTTCACATTTTGGCACAAATCTGCCTTTGTATTCATGCCCCATTGTGTTCTCTTCCTGCCAAGATCCCCCTGATTGAGTTTTCATGCATGAATGCTCACAGAGATGGATTTTAAGCTCTGATACTCGTGGAAAGCAAATTTTAAATTAGCTTTCCACAAGCATTTGCACTGGGAATGTGATCATAAGAGTTACACAAACCCATTTGGGGCCCAGACACAGTGAGTGCTCTGTGTCCTCTGCGGCCATGCACTAGAAATGCAAACATAAGAGTTAGATTGGTCCCAGTGGGACGCACAGGCAGTACCCCATGACAATGTCTCTGGCCACTCACCACTGAACAGAAGAGTGCACATTCTAAATATTAAAACAAAAAATTCTAGTAAACTGGATTGATTTGAAAACAAACGTGGTTGGGGAAATCCATCAAACCAGTTATTTGTTACCTATTATTTGTTCAGCTCCAGTGACAAGCTAGAAGTCATAGATTCATTACACCCTGTTTGCTAATTACCAAAGCTCCATGGGCTTCCTCCCAGCCCAGTCTCCCCTCCCCCCACATGCTCCAGTCTTTATTTATTTATTAAGCACACAGCTGGTGCTTAATAAATACATTAATAAATAAGGACATAAATCGGGAAATAATAGCTTGTGCCCCTGCAGCGAGGTCATTAACAAGCTGACTCCATTTCGTCCCAGCCCCTTCCCTAGCAGGACAGGCGGTGGGGTTCTAAACTGAGGATTACAACTTCTCTGCAGGAAGGAGCAGCCCGGAGAGTTGAGCTGGGAATGGGGAAACCGTCATTAAAACGACTCTGCCATCATTGCAAAGAATGTACTGGGAAAATATCGACCCGCTGCATTTCGTGGGGGAGGGGGAAGAAGAAACGATCCGTCAGCTTGAGCTTGCTGCAGTCAGCATGAAAATCCCTCTCTAAAGAAGATAACAGGTAACATTTTCAAAAGCACCTAAATGACTATGCTACAGTGGCACAGCCAAAAGGGGTTTTCCGGGCGACGTAGTTAATCCTTCTCTCCAAGAGGTGGAAGCTAGGGCCACAGACGAATTCCTTCATTGACCTGGCTGCATCTACAGGGGTTAGATCAACCGAACTACAGCACTCAGAGTGCCAAATTTTTCTCATCCCTGAGCAAGGTAGCTTGGTTGATCTAATTTTTAAGTGTAGACCAGGCCTAAGTCCCATTTACAAAGTGACTTAGGGCCAGATCCTCAAAGATATTTAGGCATCTGTAGCTGGGATTTTAGAAAGAACCTAAGCAGCTTTGGAAAATCCCACTCAATGCCTATCTGCCTCTTTAGGCACCTAAATACCTTTGAAAATCTCCCTCTTAGGAGCCTAAGGCCTGGTCCGTAATTAAAATTTAGCTCGACACAGCTACATCACTCAGGGGTGTGAAAAATCCACACCATAACCCCGTAGTTAAGCCAACCTAACCCCCAGCTTAGATGCAGCTACGTGGTCAGAAGGAATTCTTCCATTGACCTAGCTACTGCCGCGCAGGGTGGTGTTTTAACGATGTTGATGGAAAACCCCCTTCCATCACTGTAGCAAGGGTCTACACTGCAGGGCCAGAGTGCAATCGCTGCAGGGATGTAGCTGTAGCATCTGTAATATAGACATGGCCTTAGTCTCATTGAGATACAGGGGGACTTGGCCCCCTAACAGCCTAAATTCCTGTTGAAAATGGGATTTAGGCAGGGCCAGATTTTTATATTTAGGCACCTGGTGGGATTTTTCCAGTCTAAATGCCTCTGAGAATCTGGCTGTGAAGTCACTTAGGGTACGTCTACACCGTATTTTGGAGCCTGCAGGAGTGAACCTCCCAGCCCGGATCGACAGCACCAGCTCTCTAAAAATAGCCATGTAGCCAGTGCTTTGAAGCTGCAGTTCTGGCTGGAGCCCGGGGGGGCGAGTGGGGGGTCTGCAGCCGAAGAAGATGGGCGGGCATCGGAGTCTGCAGGCCAAACAGCCATTGCATGGGAATGTTTGGTGATGACTATGGCCCTGAGGCAGACTGCAAGCTAGAGGTGAAAGACTCCATTGGCATCCAATCCCCTGTTACATCAGTCCCAGCCCGCCCCCAGGATTCCCTCCATCCTAAATCTGTAGTTCCTTGCTCAGAGAAATCAGGGTTGGTTTGTTTTGCTTCAGTCTCAATTGTTTGTTGGCCTCCAAATAAACTACACAGGATAAGAATCCGGAAAACAAATCTGAACCTTCTTGTCTCTGATGGGCTGATCCTGCATGGTGCTGAGAGCTCTCCTTCCTCACTGACTTCAGTGGGATCCCTCCACCCCATGGAAAGAACGTCTCTCTCTCTCCGTGCAGACAATAGACGGTAATATTTATTTACACAGCGTGAAGGGGTTATTTATTAAGATACGCCTGACAACTGGATCCAAACTAATTTCTCTTAATAAAGGCACTTGTGGTCTCCATGGCAACAGCATTGTAGTTTCCATGTTAATGTGATTTCTCATCTGAAAACAAATTAACCGCCCCAAAAATCCCCTCTGGCCTAGGGAGAATAGAGATGGAGCAAGCCCCTCGCACGCGGCTGTCTGTACCAGGCTGACAGCATCACGGCCTCCAAAAAGGCTGCAGATGGACAGGCAGACAGTTCACCCAGCCCCATTACTGGGAGACACGCGTCCCCCACACAGTCTCATCGAGATGCATTTCATCTTTCTCTAGACAGTCTGATCACTGGTCGGTAGCTGCCGAGAAAGGCTTAATTGGCAGGACTCAGGTAGCAGGTGAATGTGGCTGAGGCTCGTTTTTGAGGATGAAAGGAAGGCAGGGAGCTGGGGGGAGAAAGAAAGACAGTGCATGCAATCTGTCTGCACTGATACCAAAGATGCGGAAAGCACCAGAGTGGCAATGCATGGCAGCCCATCCTGTGAGAGGCTGAACCCACCTCCCCGGGAGTCCCACGGAGAACAGGGCCCAGCATCTGGCACTGCACTAACAGGGGTCCCTTTATTGCACAACACACATGATAACCCTGCGCCCTACATTCCCCTGCTCCCTGGGAGGGGGAATCCCCCCAAAGATCCGCTGGGTGGAGCAGGGTCAGCACAAAGCCGGAGGGGCTGGGGCTACAGCCTCCAGGATGCTCGCTGGGCTGACGTGGAAACCCTGCAGCTCTCTGCCCAGCCCAACCCCTTGACTTCACCGTGCTTCCCAGTCTTCTTTGCAGCCCCAAGCCAACTGCCTGGATCCTTCCTATAACCTGCGCAGGGGGCTGGGCTGGGCTGGGCTGGAGTCTGGTGAGTTACTTGGTTATTAGGCATGAAGGTCAGGTATTAAATCAGCTGGTAGAGCAATGTGCTACCTAGTGGTTAGAGCAGCAGATCCACTCCTAAGAATACCCCAACCCCTCAGCACGGGCTCTATTAAACGCACAGGAGGAACATGCCCTTGGGATGACACCATCTCTGCTTAGTTGCTGAACGATTAATAGGATCCCAGGAGCCCTGATGTGTGGCCTCATGTAACAGGGCAGCCTGCCCTTTTAAAGGCCAGGAGGCTTGGGCTAGCCAGCCCTGGTCAGTTAGCCCCATCAGTGCCAGAATCAGCTGCCTCAGCCTGAAGAGGCGGGAGGAGTGGGGGCAGAGGTCAGTATGGTGAACAACACCCAGGCCTCAGATAAAGGCTTGAGGGAGAGGAAGCTGTGGTCAAGGCTGTAGAGAGCAGGATCTAGGCCCGGCCTAGCTGCTGTGGGAGGCCCTGAGGTGAGGGCTGCGGTTGGTAGGAGCTTGGAAGAAGTCACCTATGGAGGCAGCAGCTAGGGGTCTGGAGGAGCAAACTGTAACTGCTTGTTATCGGGTCCCCGGACTGGAACCCCATGAGGTGGGCACACCTGGGTTCCCTGACCACCCACTGGGAAGCTGGTACCAAGCCCCTGAGGAGGAGCTTTGGACAGTTGAAAGCCCTGAGAGGAAGCGTGTAAGGACCATGGGCAGAAGACTGGATATCAGGATTGGGACTATTATTAGTTGGGCTTTTGTTACCCCAGCAGGGGATAGAGCTTGACCGGTAACCTGGCTGGAAGGCCAGGCCTCAGACAACGCAGGCCACAGCAGAAGCAGGTCGTCAGAGGTGCTAGAGTGGGAGAACCCCAGCTGGGCTATAACCTAGAGTGAGTGGATGCTCTGGCGGTGAGTTCCTCCCCCCATTACACAGCCCCTTGGCAAGACCAGGACTTCCACCTTGGTCAGAACATGGCCTCCCTCCACCGGTCCTGAGCTGCCCAGGGCCTCTGCCCAGGACCTCTGCCCACATCAAAACCCACCCGCACCATCGCCGCCTGCAGAGCTACAGGTGCTCGGATGCACTGATATTACAGTGCCCTCCGTGTGGTTTTTCTGGGGGGAACCTGCAAGGATGTCCTTCCCGCCAGGTGCGTGTCTGAGCTCCCCCTCCCCCATCTCTGGGTCAGGGTCACGGTCACAGCCTCCCTGTGGTCCCATTAGTTCACTGGTCGTTGCTCTTTGTAAATGGCAGCCGCCCCCTCACTGGCTGGTGAGAAGGCACAAAGCAGCCACCAGGAGCTACCCTACTCGGTGCTATAAAAGCCTCTCCAGTCACCTGACAGAGGAGGAGAGCTGGGTCAGCTGCACTTCAGAGGTTCCTGGATAAAGGCAGGAAGGGTGGAGTGGGATTTGTCCAGGGAGAACTAGGGAATGGGATGGGGGGACTGGTCTGGCTGGTGCTCCCCCAGCCCCTCTGGCTACCACACTGCTAGAAAGGCAGTCTTGTTCCGGTGGCAAAGGCCCCAGTTTATCATTTCCCCCCCTGTGGTCCTTGGGCGCCAGCTGTGTGTATGGCGGCAGGTGCAGATGGATCCTATGGCCAGGTGCACAGCCCACTCTACCAGCTCTATGCTGCCTCTGTAGTACCCCCCCCCACACACACACACACACTGAATGCCTTGTGGGGCTGGCTGGAGCCCAGGTGTGTGGGCTGGAAGGGGAGGGGAGGAGATTGCGGCAGGTCTGTCCCCTGATGATCCTACACCCCTGTAGAGCCCCAGAGGGCTCGATGAAGCAGATGAGCTAGGACAGCCCTCCAAGCAGCTGCATGCTGCACCAGCCCTGGCAAGCCCCGAAGAGCAGAGGCACACACTGCGTCCCCTCTGTCCCTGCCTGCACTGGGGCTGGCCCAGGTGTCTCTCTGTCATACCACTGCAGCCTCCTTGGACATCGGTGGGGTTACTGAGAGCAGAGTGTGGTCCCCACAGAGCGAGGTCTCCTGCCCTCCCTCAGGGCTAAAATCCAACGGTGGCAGCCTCCAGGGGTGGTTTGTAGTCAGGCCACTTCACCCGCCCTCAGCCTGCATGTGCAGATACTCTGGTTCCTGACACGCAGCTGGCCGGGCCCTCCGGGTCTGAAATCATTCCCGGTCCAGGGAGAAAGAACAACCAAAAAAAGGAACAGAAGGAAAATCCCTTGTTGGTCTGGGCATGTGGGTATGGCTCACTGCATGGCTAAACCCCAGGAATCTGGCTGCTTCTCCAGCTCCCTCTGCAGATTGTAGTCTGAAAGCGTGCCCTCCCCCCAGGTCGTTCTTGCTTGGCCTGAGTACACGCAGGGTTTGGCACCAGTTCTTAACAGACAGGGCCGGTTCTAATGTTATCCAAATTGATTGTCCCTTCCCTGCCCCAAAGCGCCTGTAGCTTGCCTCTATTCCGCACGGTGGTGTATACGCAAATCACCCCGACAGCAATCACCAGAGGGGAAAATCACTGTGATCAGCTAGAGCAAAGCAATGTAAAGCCACATGGGAGAGGCATGTCTGTATGTGGACAAATATACCCCTACATAAACACACAGCTGCCTCTTACCAACCAATTACCAGGAAACTGTTTTTTACACCTGCTGCTAGGTTGCACTCTTGACCCTGACTCAATTAACTGGCCTGTGTGCCCCTTCCCCTCAGTCAGCAAATGCTCCCTGCTGCTAGCACACGTGTGCTGTACCTGCTCCCGTCTCCCCTCTACCCCCAGGGCTTTATGTACCTGCCCTGCTGCCCCTGAGCCAGCTCCCCTCCCCAGTCCAAAGCCTCTGCCTCTGCAGCCAGTCTCACACTCTGCCTGCTGCTTCCCCATGGACTTTCTCCCTCTGCTCCTCAGTCCCAGGGCTTTCCAGCCTTCCCTTGAACACTCCCTCTTGCCAGTTCTCGTCTGCACCAGCCTCTGCTCTTTCAGTGCTCTCTGGGCTCACCATTAGCTACCCATTAGCAGGGTCCCATCACTCCTCTCCAGGCCTGTTCTTATAGCTCCTTCTCTGCAGCCTCAGAGCACTCTCTCCATCCCACTCAGCACCCTGACTACCACAGAGGCCTTCCCTGCCACTCCTTGCACTCCTGTCTCTGCTCCCCAAGCCCCTGGCAGCAAGCGTTCACCCTGGTCTGTTTTGTAGGGATGGTGGCGGGTGGCTTGTCCCTGTTTAGTTGGGGTGAAAGGAGACCTATGCAAAGCTGAGCTTTGCTGGGAGCAAAGTCCAATGTGGGGTGTGTAAAATGGAAGAGCAGATCGTAGCTTTGTTCTGGTCCATGGGTCCCACCTGAGGATCTGGTCCCAGCTACTTTCAGCATCCTGTTGCAGAGCTGATTTTTTGCAGCCTCTCAGAGCCAGGGCTTGGATGAGTTGACATGCACCCCTGGTTGCATTGGCATTGCTTGTTGCATCCTGCTGTTTGGTTCGTGGCCCTGGGCATGACAGGAATGGTGGGAGAAGCCAGGTCTCTCACTTGTCTGATTGTTTGCAGAGGGGCAAAAAGATACAGAGCTCCCTGGGCCATGCGGGAAACTGCCTCAGGGCAGGAGCACTGGTGAGAATTTGGGTGTCAGCTGAACTCAGGGATTTACACTGGGGGGCTTGGATTTGGAACCAGGTTTGAATCTGCTTGATAATGCAGTTCTCGTGGTCAGCCCTGAACTTTCTCCCAGGAAATGGGCAGCTCAGAAAACATCAAGTTTAGCTCTTGTCACCCATCTGCGAGCCAGCCCCAGATTGGCGCACACCGAGGGTCTGGGGGGAGGAGAGCAGCCCCTTCTTGCTGAGAAGACACTCATTATAGCAGTGGCTATCGAGGGCCACTTGAAAAAAAAATTGCCATTCTTTCCCTGTGGCTCTTGTCACCCTACAGACAAACAACTTATGATTAGCCCTGGCTGATGATTGCTGCAGCTTAGACTAGCAGCAGAGCACCCCCTGGTGACTTGTTTGGGGATGGAGAGCACAGACTGGGCTCCTGATAGGATAGGATAGCTGATCTCACACAGCCTCAGCCACTGCTGTTTGCCCAGCAGCTCTGTGCTGATCCTAGCTATGATCAGGCTAGAGCCTAGCCCTGTGGTATGGGCCCATCGCTGTCCGTTATCCCCTTGGTGCACCTGTGTGGCATGGGCCAGTGGTTGGCTCACAGCTCCTCGTGGGGAAAGAGGAAATCAGTAATAAAATTCAGACGGGCACTAAACAAAGTAGTTCCTTAAAAGAGACCATCCCTCCCTGCTCCAGCCCCCGCCCCCCAGCTGGGGCTGCTGCCAGGGGTAGTGCTGGGACCATGCCCCTCTCATGCCCATGAGACAGGCTGAAGGAGAACGTGTCTCCCAAGCTCCCAGGAGAAGTTTTCCCCATCACAAGGGGCTGTTAAGAGTGGAGCGGCGCAGGAGGTGCGCTGCAGGGGGCTGACACCCCCTGAGATGAAGGAAGCCGTGTTGTTTCGGTGGGACAGGGCATTGCCAAGCATGTATCTGAGTTGTGTTGCAACTGGGAGTGTCAAAAATCAGATGAGGTTCATGATGCCTGACAGGCAGGTGCTGCGGATGTGTAAATCCCAGTGCCACGTGGCAACACTCAGCCCGATTCTCCTCTCAGCAGCACTGGTGTAAATCGGCGGTAATGGCAGTGAAATTGGTGACGTTACGCCAGCATAACCTGGTGCAAGTGAGAGGGGAATCAGGCCTCCTGACTGGCTTGGTGAAGACCTCTGGAAAATAAGTCAGAATATTCCATTCCTACTTAGTGATAGGAGTTTTCAAGGCACTTTGCAAACATTAACAGGCACCATGGAGATGGGTGCTTTATAAATACCTATAATAATTGCCAGGCTAAGAAAAGAAGGAAGGTGTAGGCTGAAGGCAGATCTCCAGCGTGCTTCGAAAGCTGACAGCTAGAACTGGGGCAAACTTTGCTGGGTAGCTCTAGGCATTGTGGTGCTGGAGCTGGCAATGGGTGAATCTCTAAAGGCTCAAATCCACTCCCCAAAGTCCAGGGGCTGACCCCTGCTGCAGTTAGAGCTCCAGTCCTTTGGGGCTTGCAAACTAGACCAGGGACTCTTCAGTGCATGCTCCGCACCTCTGCAAATCGGCTCATGGTTTTTCATTAGGTAACTGCATTTCGGAGCTTAATTATAGGTCCTTGGGTCAGAAAGCGTTGGCCTCCGTTGATAATGCTTGGGATGAAAGGTCCCATGCTCATAGTCAGGAAGTGAGGAGCATGGGGTGAGAGAAGCAACAGTTTCCCCTCCCTGACGTGCTGTAAACTCACGTAGTGGATTCTCTGAAATGGTGCTTTCAGCCATTAGCAGAGAGCAGCGGGAGGCGCTAAAGGAAGCGGGAGATCTATTTACACCTGGCGCAGGGAGGCCCAGGTGAACCTGAACTTTTAAAGGAGACTGGAGCATTGCAAGCTACAAGTGAAACAAGCAAAACTGTTTGGCTCCAAGCTCAGAGAGGGGAAAAAGCAGCCTCAGAACAGGCTGCTCTGAAGCTAACTGCAGGCCTTGGCAAATGACACCTGGACTAAGCGAACCGGGCGTTAAGCCGAGTCCGAAACTACCCGACTCCACGTCCCACTCTCTTCTGAAACACTTCAACCACAGGCCTCCTCTGACCCAACCTTGAAGATGCCCCATATTTATTGGGTCCCACTGGCTCTGCCTGATGGGTCTGTGCTTCCTGGCCATGACCAGCCGTCGTAGGAATATGCAGCGTGGGAGATGGAATCCGATAGGGTCCGAAAGCTGTTAAGGTGGCCTACGAGGGGAAGGCACTCTGCACGCCAGCGGCTTTACTTTCAAACGAAAGATGACTGCTGTTTCTCCAGTAAAGCACCCGAGCACGTGGTGGAAGGGCACACCCTCTGCAGTCCACCCCTGCATTTTCTGACTGAGCAAATTAATTCATTTGGGGCCTGACCCAAAGCCCGTTGGAGCCCACTGATTTCAGCAGGCTCTGGATCCCCTAGCAAAGCACCTGGACCTCAGATCAGCAACATGCTTAGACAAGGGCTTAATTTTTAAGCTCGTGCTCAAGTCCCGTCAACATTAAGTTAAGCCACGTGCTTGAAGGCTTTGGTGAGCGGCAGCCAGGGAGCTCCAGGAGGACCCTCCATTCTCACATCACGATCATCACATCCCTTTTCAGAGGAGGAGGGAGAGGGGCTGGGGGCTGCAGCCGCTCCTCTGAGCATGAATCCCTTACAGGGAGCTGACTGAGCATGCACTGAGCCCTCTCTGCTGCTACAAATCACTTGACGATGACCTCTTCTGTTCATTCCCTTTGGGGCACCTGGCATTGGCCACTGGCGGAAGACAGGACAATGGGCTAGATGGCCCTTTGGTCTGACCCAGTACGGCTGTTCTTCATTTCTTGCAAAGCGAGCCTGACTGGCAGTGGGGAAGTGCTGACCCAGTGCAGGCAAAGTCCGGTTTCACTTTTCAATGTGGGTTGTGTTGTAAAAAAACCCCAGAAAGCGTTGAAGTGACAAGGTTCATTTCCTTGGCAAATCCACTTTTCATTCAACCCTCCCCCCCTTTTCAATGATAACCATTCAAGCAGCTCTAAATGAGAGGCTCTGGGGACAGGATGGTATCCCATAGAACTGGGGGGGGGGGGAGGAGCACAGCGAAACAAAGCACTCAGGAGGGCGCTGGGCTGTTCAAACAAACCTTGATTTACTGGGATAACCATGCTTCTGTAACAGAAAATGCAACTGCCACGAGGAACCAGCCGACAGACCTTCGCTGTCTCACCCAGAGACATTTTGAACACTGCAGAATGACAGACCCCAATCAATGAGATTACACCAGTGACAAACAAACTGGAACCTGAACCACAGGCCGGAAGCAGAAACACTGCATTTCCCCCTCCCTCCCTTCCCCCCCCCCCCCCAGCCCCCGACATGAAAATCAAAGCTCACTGAACGAGGCGATGTTGCTATATATCAGGAAAGTGAGCGCAAGGCAACAGGTCTTCAATGAGCAGGACAATGTCACGGGACGACAGTCACTTTGTATGCGAGAGCGTGAGGTCACGTCCATAGGCACTTGAGGATCCGGAGGACAATCGCCAGCCATGTCACTCGAACCACAGCAGACTGCATGAAGCCACCCAGTTAAATTGACAGCTAAATTACACCACACACTTCACCAGCACCAGTACAGCGATAGAGAACTCTGACTTGAGCACAGGTGTGGGGTCAATGCATCCCTGGCACCAGGGACTGAATCCAAGATCAGATGACAACAGGGTGGTTGGAGAACTGCAACCTTGTCTTACAGTGTGTGAGGCAGTGTTTGCTAGTGTTTAGAGCAGGGAGGCTGGGAGTCATGACTCCCAGGTTCTATTCCTGGCTCTGCCACAGGCTTTTCAGGTGACCATAGGCAAGTCACTTAACCTCTGTGCCTCAGTTTCTCCACCTGTAAAATGGAGATCATCATCCTTACCCCTCTTACAGGGGACTGTGAGGCTGAGATAGTGTTTGTACAAGGCTCTGGTGCCCTTAGCATTGGCTAAATGTGAAGTATTTCAGCATGGTCATGGGTTTTTACACTGGATAAAAGGATTTGCAACATGGGAAATAGAAATCAGCCAGCCAACTGTATGCCAAGGGTCAGGTAAAAGATTCAGGGAAAGCACGAATCATACTGCTAACCCTGTCATCCAGAGACAGTCCATCCAGGAGGATCTTTCGCTGCTGAACAGACGTCAGGGTAGAGGGAGCTGGCTTATCTACAGAGCTGGGCCTTGGTGCTGCAGGGGAGAGCATGACATATATACTGCTCTAAGGTTCTGACCTGCAGAGCGGCCCAGACGCTAAGGATGAGAGTCATGCCTTTAATGCTTTACCTTGTTATTAACAGCCAAATAGAAAGCGGTATCTTGGTGACTGTGAAATGAAGTCACCCTCTGGTGGCCAGCCCAGGCAACCTACATCAAACCCAGAGGCTGTGCTATGGGACTTCATGGCAGCAGTCAGTGAGGGATTAAGTGATGCAGGGTTTAAACATTCACTTGAGCGTCCACGAGAAGTGCTATCCTTAACACACCCAACATGTACAATCAACAGCGAGGGCCACAGCATGTCCTGTCCATGCTAAAGCTGTTGTGTTGGTACCTTGGTATGAAGGTTTGATACCAAAGTTAGACATTAGATGGCCAAATTGTGAGCCTTTTGCCTTAAGGAACCTGTAAAGGGGGAACATTCAAATGTCTGCAGGTCGTTTCAAGTCACCAGAACTGAGTCTTAAAGCGGCAAGAAGCTGCATAAGGGCAGTGGTTCAAATCTCCACTGATTCAGTGTCTTTTTTTCGGAGAACTGATTGGAACCAGCTTGGTTAATTGTCAATCCGTGAAGGTGAGGTCTGGGTCAAGTCCCTCATACATGGCCCAATGGTGAAGCTGATTCAAGGCTTTGCTAATATCTTTGTAGTAACAGCCCAGAAGTGGGTGTGTGCGCCGGTGTGCGTGGTGAGTTGGAAAAAAGGCAAGAGAGAGGTAGGTTTTGCGGGTAGGTTTTAAAAAAACCCACCTAATTACCCCCAAATAATATCTTATCTGAGCGCTGAATTCAAGGTCCCCTTCCCTTGGGGTTAATGACCTCTGAATGATGGCATATGGATTGAAAACTGCTGAGCTGACAGTTCGAGACTGCTAGCATCTCTGAGAACAGAGCAGTGGGAGTGCCTGCTGTTATCCTCTCAGGGCTGCCAATAAACATCAAGTTATGTGGGGCCAAAAGTCGCAGGCATGATGCATTGGTTCCCAGAACTGCTGCGGGGCAAAGCCAAGACACACTAACCACGCTTATCAAGGCTGTTCCTATGTTACCGTACGCCGCTGCTGTTACATAACATGCTCCAGAAGGTGCATGTTTCACTGTTTTGTTCTGAACAGGCCATGGTTCTTCCTACGCTGTAGCAAACACACCCTGTGCAATAGGATACGTCAGCCATGTTTCTAGCTGCCGTTAGCAAGGCTTGCATTCTCTTGGGAGATTCTGAATGCTATGTCCCAGGCCATAGTTTTGCATCAAGAGGATTCTGGTGAGTGGCGAGGTTACACCTCCAAGGTCTGTATGCGCTGTGGAGGTCTTGAGCTGTGTAAAATGAGCAATTAGAATGTGACTCACATATTAAGTTCCTGCAAAGTCTCTAACTGCAAAGCTGGTTTAAAGGATCATGAAAAGCCCATAACCTGGAAGCATCTAAAGTGACCTGAATGCATAGAAATAAGCTCCTGCAGCATTGTAGACAGAGCTGTCGTGACACCACCCCAGGACCTGTGCCTCAGGTCTATGCGTCTCCTAAGCGCCTTTGCATTTCACATGTGCACAGCCTGTGTGGCTGTACCACTCAGGGCCTCTAGTCTGGGCCTCCCTTACCCACTAGCTTCACTAGGTCTGCTGAGAGAGCCAGGTTCTCCCCTATGGTACAAAGGAGACACTGTGGGGTGTTTTGCATTGATTTATGCTTCTGGTATTTACAAAGCAGAGCCTTGGGGCCGGCCAAGGGGAATAGGGGCATGAGGTGAGAGGACAGGACATTGCAAAAACACTTCACAAACAGATCAGGTCATGCCACCTACCAAAAGACACTCAGACTCACATCACATGGCCTGGAACCGGGCCCTTGCACACTGATACCACATCACTGGGCCAGATGGTTAAGGAACAGGCTAACACTTAGCTGTATGTGTAAGCTTCAGTTTGCTGTCTTCCATGATATGGTACTTGAGACAAGAGGAGCAGCTGACCTGCCTGGAAGGGAATGTGACACTCCCATTTGATGAAGTAGAAACATCACCCAATGACACAAGGGTGGTTGCTGTAATGCTTGGGCTCGTGGTGCCCTTCTGATCATGCGTGGGATTCCAGCAGGTTCAGAGACTCGTTTGAAACATGACCAGGAAAGACCCTGGAAAGGTTTAGAACTGGAACACACTCCCACTGCCTGAGTGGACAAGACATAATTGCCCTGGATTTGACAGCAATAGGGATGGGGAGTTTCTTGTAACCTGCTCTAGTGACAAAAGCAGCTCAGACCCCCTGCAAGCTGTTCTCACAAGAGCTGGTCAGAAACCAGCAGCTTTCTTGCAACAAATGCCCACTGAGTATGTCTGGGTTGAAAAATGTCCATTTTCCATGGGAAATTTCCAAATGAAAGGTTTGGTTTCAACAGGAAGTGGGGGAAAGCCCCACTTTCTGCTTTCTAATTATTTCCAGCTGCAAAACAAAGCTCATTTTCTCACATTCTTCTTACCTCTCCTGCCTTCTTCCAATGGGAAAAAAGGGAGAGGGATAAAAATTGGAGGGGGGGGGGGCAGAAGAACCAAAAACTGAAAAGGGAAAGTGAAATTGGTCAGTTTCCTGGGACCAAAAATAAAACAAAATTTGAAGCTGAAACTAAATTATTTTTAGAATTTTCCTGTCAGGAAAAAAAAAATCACCAAAATTCATTGAAATCAACATTTTCCCTCCAAAATGTCAACTTCAACTAAACCAGGTTTTCCAGCGGAAAGTGTCTGGGTCGATAAATTTCAACCAGCTCCATTCCTCACCCATCAACCTCAAATCTTTAGCTTTCTTTCACCCAAGACCTCCAACTCTCTGTAGCCAGGGAGCAGCTAATGGCTATGGGCCAGATATACAGAAGTAGGTGCTTATGTTCTGTTGACTTCAGTGAGACCCAGTTAAACACATGCTTAAGCATTGGCCTGAATAGGGATGTTTTCCTGAATGGCAGCCTAAAATTTGAATGCAGGAGATGCCCTGATGTTAGGGCATCACCCACTTTCCTGCATGGGAATGAGGATGCATTCACCATCTGTCCCCACCAATGAGACAGCCACAGTTGTTTGCACATTTATTAGGGCAAGCAAGTTGCGCTGATTGGTTTGTCATGGGTCACATTCTGCCCTTGGATACATGTGTCCAAACGCCCATTGATTTCAGTGAGTCCTATTGCTGGGCCCGCGGGCAGAATCCGGTCTTTAATTTTCAATCTATTCTGAACTAAGGAGGTTGTAATGTATTTCATTTAATTAATATGCTTCTGACAATTGTCAGCCAAAGTGGCATTAACAAGAGTTAATGGGACCGGTTCTGGTGACGCTGCTGAGAACTAAAGTCTCTGGATTAAAGTTGCCTTCCACTATGAATAACTGATTCAGAATGGTTCCTGCTGAGTAATTACACTCAAAAAAGGGTCTGTCAATACAATTTGCTATCAGCTGTCACAGATGCTGCCTGTCATATGCTGAGCTGGGGTATGGCAGTCAAGTCAAAACACAGCACTGCGAGAATGGAAACAAATTCAGCAGCGAGACTCAAGGAAGGAGGATGGAATTCAAGCAGTTCAAAAGACAGGCAAGAGACAAATGCTGGGCAGCGCTTAGCTTTGCCCATACGCTCAAGAGGGGCGTTATGAGAGGGGAGCTATGATGAAAGGTCATGCAACAAGTCTGCAGTGGGCACAAGAAAGTGACACTCAGTCTGCCGAGGAAAGGGGGAAAAAAGTCAACGGCAAGCGAGCTCCACCAAACCCCTGACCCACAAGCATGGCTAGCAGACGCTTTCAGTGGGACAGCAGACTGTTTTGCATGAGGGTCAGAAAAATCGAAGTGTAAGAACACAAGCTTCAAAGCCACTGGGCAAAGTGGCATGGGCTTGAAAACGTAGATATAACGCAGGACTGTTGGCCAGACCTTCTGGTTCAGATCAAATATAATACTCTAAATCACTGATACAGCCTCTCCCTCTAGAAGGACAGCCTCCTGGGAATGTACTCAATGCACTGATGGGGACTGAAAAGCTTTAACTGCTCTAATCCAAGGTGCATTCTACTAGCTCTGCTACGCTGTGCCTGAAAGTGCCTGGGGAATAGATTTGCTTTAATCCACCTCCTGCATTCCTCCGGCTGCTCGCTGGCTATGCAGTCTGGCCCCGGCCTACCCCCGCTCTGCATGCAAAAGATTCTAGGGCACATTTACAGGTTGTTTCACAGCTGACAGACTGTCCCTGGAACCAAGGCCAGAATATCCAAAGATGCCTAAGGGAGGTATACACCCACTTGGGATTTCAATAGGATCTGGATGTTTATATCCTGTAGGCTCCTTTTGAAAATCCCAGTCCAAATTCACAACTGTAGAGAATGAGTGATCTGGGAGGACCTGGCAATTCATTCCATGGTTTTCCCCAGTGTTGCTGTTTCATCTTAAGCTGCTTGGCCGCAGTCTGGATTTCCAATAACCTTAACCCATGAGGCAGAGTGGCTGCTCGAACACAAATTCCTGAGACGAGACACATGTTAATCTTCATGATAACGCAGTCTAGATGGAGGCCGGGGAACGATGAATCACAGCTGGAAATGCTCTGTGTGAAAAGATGAATGCAGGATTGATGGGGACTGGGGGAAAGGGGAATGGCTTGGCTGGATGGCGAAGCGTGGGAGGGTTGAATGAAGATTTGGGATTCTCTTTCTGGGACTGGTGCGGGGGATCAGATGACACCCAGCCTGAAGGGAAGGTGCCCAGTATCTTGTGTACCTGGAGATGCTATTCCTAGTCACAGAACTGAATAATCCTTTCGTTTAGATATTGGCCTTAATAACATCCTGCAGCAGTGAGTGCTACAGGTGAATCATACCCTGCTTATACAACAAGAATAATGATTGTTTAGTGCTGGGGTTTGAATGACCTTGATTATTTTCTGGCCTGCAGAAAGGCTTGTTCTAATAAAGGTACATAGCATGGCACTGTAGTGGTAGAGCTTAGCCATTAGGCTGTGTTTCTTTAAGGACCAGTCCCTGTACCCCAGGAGCTCACTCAGATGACTGCCTGACTCCCGCCTTTCGCACTCACCCTCCCTACACATTGTTGGGGTTGTAGCACAACAAGTTGAACTCAAGGTTTTCGTCCCAGTGCCTGAGCAAAACAAACAGCTGCCGGGCTGCGGCCTTGACGGTCCCCGGGCTACGGCCCTCCGGGAACTCCTGCTCATTCAGCCACATGCTGGCCTTGGCAGCCACCAGCTCCCACTCGATGAAGTAGGAGGCTGAGCTGTGCTCCAGCCAGGCCAGGGCGACCGCTGTGGCCCAGAGCATCCCCTCCGGTTCAGCCCACTGGTGCAGCTCAATGTCAAAGAGCAGGGACTGCAACTCGGAGCTGTCCGACTCGGAGCCTCTGCCGCTGTCACTCTGCGGCTCCCGAGGGGACTGGGTGCTCTCAGGGGAGGAGAAGCGGCGGATGGTGATGGCAGGGGGTGAGAGTTCGTTCTCAGCTTTCAGGGCCTTTGACAGGCTTTCCACTGCGCTGCCAGAGAAGTGGCGAGGCCGGCCTGCGTCTCCCGTACTCTCACCATAGCCGTTCAGCGTTGCACTGGGAGTGAAGTCTCTGTCTGAGAAGCTCTCTCTGGGAACGTCGTTCGGTGCCAGCAGCTGCCAGCTGCCTCCAGGGCTCTTGGGTTCTCGAGGCAGGCCTGACTTCTTAGCATTGTAGGAGCTGCCGGAGGGGCTCAGAGCCATCCGGTGGCAGGTGAATGGAGACGTCCACTTCAGCTTCTCCATGGGAATGCTGATTGCGTGGCAGAACGCTGGGTTCAGCAGGAAGGCACCGCAGGCCAACTGCAGAGACACCTGTGGAGCGGGATAACACTTCCTTAGGGAGGCGCTGAGGTAAGGCCCTGGGGAAGAGCGCATTCTCTGTGCACAGCCAGGGCTTTGGAGCAACCTGCCCACCAAGAGTCCACCCCATTTGCGCCCAGGGCTCCAGGTTGACAGGAGAGGCACCACCTGGGCCCTCATGCCTGCAAAGTAGGGGGGGGGGGTTCCTCTCCACAGTTCAGGGTCCAAAAGGTTGCTGGGGGAGGGCGAGGTGGCCCCAGCTGGGCCACATTTTACCCCTTTCCACACAGTGCAGTGGTCTCTGCTTTAGCCTCTTCTGCCCCTACCAGTTTTGGGAAGTTTTCCAGCTTCACCAACTGGGGGATTTTGGGATGGGAGTTGGGGGCCCACTGATCAGAACTCAAGCTAACCCATGTGTGTGCATGCATGGTGATATGCCAGAAGAGAGAAGAGCTTGAGCAAATGCTTTCAGAGCCCCCGCCACCTCCCGTCATCCCAGTTATATGAGCCTAAGATCTGGTTTGGTTGCTTACCAGGGGTAGGTAGTCAATGTTTTCATTGCTGCTATCAGAGCTGGGTTCATTCATCCGACTTGGGGATTTACTCATGAAACCTTTGGCTGCTCGAGTCAGCAGTCTTGTTTTATGAAGGGTCAATCTGCATCAGGACAGACGTAACAAAGAAGGCATTTACATACTTGCCTCTCGGACTCATTGCCTCCCACTAACCAATCACCTTTCAGCATTCCCAGTAACTGACACACAGCACCCTACACTAAGTCATGCGGTAACGCAGCTGTCAGAGATACATATGCTCGGTCTGGCTGCGAGACATCAATTCAACTGGCTTCCCATACAATAGACACAACCACCTCTCCCCTTTCTCTTCTGCGCTAGACTGTAACGTAGCCTGGCCTCTGGTAATTCTCCCCACTCCGCACAGATAAGTCTCCTCAAGCTAGCATATGCCCATAGGAATGCAAATTCCATCCAGGAACATCTCCTGTTAGACTCTCCAAAAGATCAGACTGGGAGGGGATGCTCTGAGGACCATCATTTCTGAGTGGCCCAGAAGTTAATGCTTCAGCTTGTCAAAAACATAGGACCCCCTGAGTCCTGATCCTTTTCCTGTCACTTTCCGGAGGAGCCATGTGACTCAGGGACTCTGACAGGGGTTTTCAAGGCAAGGAGTCAGGGAAGTAGCCAGAAGAGAGTGTGAGGAGTCTGTAGGTAGGTGGGGAAGGGAGGGGGTATTTTGCCTTGATCCCTCCTCTCTTGAAGTCATTAGAAGAGGGAAAAATTTAGAAGGATATTTTTGGGGGTCAAAAATGCCTACGTGACTTAGGAGCCTCTGTCCCCTTGGATTTCAATAGGCCTAGACTTGCACAATTTCTCCATACCAGATGACGTGGCGCTATACCCACCTTCCCCTCCCTGGATGGCTCAGGGGCATGGAGTAGTCTAGAGTGTTTAATCGCGAAGTCCCTGGTTCAAATCCAGCCTAGCTAAATAGCAACTGCAAAATGTTCCTATCTTTTGGCTGGTCACGGGCCAACGTGACATGAATTTGGGGATCTGTGGGCAGGTGTCCACCCCACACTTGGCACTACTCACCCCTCTCAGCAGAGAGACCCAGGCCACTGACCAAGCCTGAACTCCCCTCCCTGGTGGTCCTTCCAAGTCAGAGTTAGGGAGCCCTGGTGGGGCAATCTGAAGAAGCTTGTTTTGCTGCTGCCATGTGATGGCAGTGTCTAGACTAGAACCTACACAGACCAAATCCTCCTCGCGGTGACACCAGATTTCAACAGGCTGCATCGGTAGCACAGAGAGACTCTGCCCAGTACTTCCCTTTACAAGCACCAAATTTGCACGATACATTTAAAATAAAGAATAAAAAAGAGGCAGTTTGGTTGGCTGTTTGCTGATCGTCAGGCTCAATGTGTTGGCTAATTGTCACAAAGCCTGGCTGACAAGCTGTCTGCCTGGCCCAGTACACCAGCCAACGAGTGTCACAGTATCAAAGCAAGAGTGGGCTGCAGAGCAAAATTCCCGTTACCAAACCCCCTTTCTACAGTGTAACCAGCTGCCCACCTGCCTGATGTGGACACACCTCTAAACAGCTGACAGGCTTTCCCGCATGTGGGCCCCTTTTGTCAAACCCACACCCAGGAGAAAACACTGAGCAATGGAATACTCCACCCTGGGGTCAGGAGGTCTCATTGAGTCAGAGAATGCTCTGCTGCACCTTACCTGGCAGAAAAAAGGGTATCGATAGACTTCTGGGAGTGAGCAGAGGGAGCAGACGGACTCTGCAGTGAAGCTGGAGAGAAATACAGAGCCAAGGCTGAAGTAAGGAAACATCTGGCATCAAGGAAGAGTTAATCAGAGTTCAGGGACCACTGGCTGGAGGCTGGGCTCCTGGCTTGGATACTAAATTGCTTTTTGACCTTAGACAAGTTACTTCATCTCTCTGCCTCTATGTCCCCATGTGTCTAACGGAGATAATGAGACTTATCCACCGTTCAAAAAAGGCTGTCTGGGAGATGCTGAGGGCTTAGCACCTCTAGAAACCAGAGTACTGATTTAGCTGCCTAAATATGGATTTAGGGCTCTAATTTTAGGCACCAGTGTTTAAAAAATATGTTGGCCAAAGTACTTCTAAATAATTCAGTTAAGAGCCCAAATCACCAGCCAAAGTTATGGGCAGGCACCAGATTTACCAGCTAATACATTTTAAAACACAATAGCTGAAAATCGTTTCCTCAGGCACGGAGCTGCCCACACCTGAGCTCTCTCTAACAACTGGAGGTTCACAACCCCTGGCTCAGCACAGAAAGACGTTGCCCTGCCATTGGCCGTGACCAGCTGTGGCAGGAGAAGCAGAGAACCCCGAACTCCGATCCGACAGGTTTAAAAACTTTTCAGCTCAACTTGAAACCTCAGTCGGAGGAAGTGGTGCCACGGCGACCTTGAGAAACCCTGTGCATGTCTTGCTCTTACCTTCCGGGACACTGTAGCGCTCCCAGCCGGAAGAGGCAGGTGCGCTGCCGGGCGACAGGCTGTTCTCATCTGCAACAGCAGAAGCACAATGGCCACATCACCCTTCTCCACGTCATTACCACATGTCAGCATCACCCTGGCCTCGGAGTGAGGGTCACAACCGGCCCCCTCGCCCTAGGCGTGACCATCCTCCTCCATAACCGCCAGCACTGCCTGTCTGTCTGCCAGCTTGTTCGTCACCCTGGGCACCACAACACACTGTACCATCTCCCTCCTCCTCCTGGTTGCCATGGCTTCGCCAGACCTTCCGCTGGCACACACTGGGTAGCAGCATTGGTTTCAATGGAGCTCTGCTGACTTACACTAGCTGAGGATGTAGCTACCTTCGACACCAGTCTCCAAATCAAAGCCAGTGCCGTGGCTACACTGAGCTTTGGAGAGGGAAAGCGCCATGTCAGGATTACACAGTGTGACCGTTCTATTGACCACTGTAACGGTTCCGTCATGGGGCCTCCTGCTGGTTATTCTGGAAATTAGCTCAGTCTTTTCGCAGAGCGCTCTCCTCCGGTGGTGTCTCGCCTGCCATCACTTCTGCTCCGGACCCGTGTCGCCTCAAGATCAGGACACAGCCCTCCAGCTGTGCCCCATTCCTTCTGGGGGAGCAGCAGTCCTCTGTCCAGCCACTCGCCTCTGTGGCCAACTGCAGCCCAAGGTTCTAGCCACTCCCCTCAGTGGCAAACTGCAGCCCTTCACTGGCCTCTCCCTTCAGTGGCAAGTGAGGGTGGGGAGACCCAGGCCCACCCCTTACTCCGGGTCCTGACCAGGGACCCTCTAGGCTGCAGCCACACTCTGTCCGTTTCCCTGGGCCACTTCCCCATAGCCCTAGCACCTTCTCTGCCCCTGTATCCAGGCTTTCAGCCAGCCAGTCAGGCTGGAGCTCCCGCTCCCGCTCCCGCCCTGCCCTTCAGGGACCCAGTCCTTTCTCCCTGGGCTCCCAGAGGGAACTGACTCCTCTGCCCTGCAGCTCTCTTTATATTTGGGCTTGCTCTGCCCTGATTGGCTGCTCCTTGAAGCCCCTCACTGATTGGCTGTCTCCTGCGCAGCCTCCCCAGGGCTGCTTTTAACCCTTTCTCCACCAGTGTGGGGCAGACGCCCCATCACAACCACATTCAGCATCCTTGGGCCCCTCTTCCGCCTTTACCAAACCCTAATCCTGAACAGAGATCACTGCTTCCCAACCCATCGCAACCTCCAGCTCACCCATCACCACTGCGTCGCCATCACTATTTGTTTCATCATCCACAGTCCCTCTGCACCTCTGCCACATCTACTTTCTCTTCATGGCGCCTGATGGGTTCCTTCAATTGACCTCAGCCTGCTTAGGACAACCAGAGCTCTAGAGGCAAAGGGGAGGAAATTCCAACCCCGGAAGATGCATTCTAACACGTCTCGGTGGAGCTGGCTGTACCGTCTTACTGACCTGAAAGGTGTGAGCACCTGAGGCTATTTAACCTTTTAAAAGGGGACTCCCAAAGGGTCAGACATTGCTGTGTCCCTCTGCAGATCTGAATCCATCAATCAGGCTCTCGTGACCTTTATTCTAGTCTACTCTAATCCAGGAAGAGAGTGTGGCCTAGAACCTGGAGCAGAGCAGGAGTCATTCCTACTCCCATCTCTACCAATGAGTCACTATTTGACCTTGGGCAAGTCATAAACATCAGTTTCCTCTTCTGTAAAATGGGGACAATCCCATTTTCCAGAATGCTAAGTGGTTTAAGGTTTGGAAACTGCTCAGGAATGCTGGAATGGAAGATGCTACAGGAATGCGCATTCCAAGACAGTCTGTATTTTATTCATTCCAGGAAAAAAATCTAGAATTTATAAGCCTCAAACTCTGAAATAAACCCAGTGGGTTTTGAGAAATGTGATTTATCTGAGCACGTAAAGAAAACGGGAAGCAAGTTACAGCATCATCAGACATGCTATTGCCTGCACCTGGTTGACTTTTTAAATTTTCTTTAACGGCGTTTTTCTCTCTTTTAGCCAGAGATTTCCTCCTCTCTCTCTTGCTCTCGGTGATGGAAAACTTTCAGTGTCTCAGAAATGTTTAGTAGCCAAGCTGTTGTGCTCATCCTCCCAATGCAACCCGTATCTCCCCTGTGTTGCCAGGGAACCTGGAGTACACACTGGGACAGCACTAATGATCAAGTGCTGATCACTGAGTTTTTCAGGTCAAATTACCCCTGAGAAGCTGGGTAGCTTCGAAAGAAGCTGTCATGCCCACTGGATTATTTAGCAAGTCTGACAATATGAGTGGTGCTGAGGTCTAATCTTTAGGGAGTGCAGGGGGCATGGAGCTGAACCTAGAGCAAACAAGGGCTGGTGTGGCAGATTTCTGAAGCCTTTATGGAGGGGCCAAAACCTGGTCAAATGACAACTCTGAACACTGGGCATACTGGGATACTGAGGCATCCAGTCTCAAGGCACTGGGCAAGGGGATGGGCTGGACTCAGCTACAGCCATTATGGAAGGGTCTTTCATTGATAAGGTGTGGGGATGCCAGCTAGGAAAAGTGACAACCCAATTTTAAAGACCATCAACTTCAGACTGTGAAACTCACTACCACAGGAAACTGTGGAACCAAATACTGCAGTAACATTCAGCAAGGATTAGGGGTTCAATTGTACGATTCCGAACAGCATCTGTGGGTCCCTCTAGCTAGGGCAGAAATGACTAGAGATGACAATCCTCACAGTTCAGAGAATAAATAGATCATTAGTAGGTGTCAGGGAGAATCCATCTCCTCCACAGTGGTAGAGGATGCACAATTTGGTGCATTGTGGGGAGGTTATACCCTCCTCTGGACCATCTGGTACTGCCCAGGGCCACAGAGAGGATACAGGATTAGATGGACCATTGGTCTGTTCCAGATAGGCAGATCCAACGTACCTGCGTATACACGTGTAAATCACTGGAGTGTAATTGATGCGAATAACTTTGAACGGTTTTCTCCATTGACTTCAATAAAGCTAAGCCTGTTTCCACAGCTAAGGATCCAGCCTGCCTGTTGTTTGTATTTATTTTTATGTTTCAATACATATAAGAGAAGCTGGCAAATGGCCACTCTTCCCTTTCAGGGGCTGATTATAGAAATACCTGCATTACAGTATAACAACAGCTGGATGTATAGCTAGTTCAAAACACTATTGTGCGACCCCCTGGACAAGCCCTCTGCAGAGACCTAACTCAGCTGATTCTAGATGTATTCTGAGAGAGAGAACGTATTTTTCAGCACAGTTACTTTCCACACAACCATGAATTCCAGCTCTCTCCTTGTCCCTGACTGAGAAGATCATTTTAACTCAGCAGCAGTCATGACTGCATGAGACAAAGTCCAACCTAACTTATCTTCATTAGTAGGAGATTTACAGAGACAGTCAAGTGTCTGAAGTCCCCTAGTCTCTAATTAGAGCAGGCTCAGCCCCTCGTGTCCCCTGTGTTATGGCTGCCAGTTAACTTCAGAGCATCAGCAAGAGTTACTTCTCGTGATCTGAGAGTTTCAGAATAAGTTATTTTCTCGTTATTTTCTGTTTCAAGAGATAGATTCCAGCCAGAAACATGGTTAGCTGTCCAGACCACATGCTTTGTTCCTCATCAGACCTTTCATATGACAGTAGCTGAGTATATTCCTCTCCAGAGAGCGGTCATCTTGGCCATAAGAAAGACAGAGACAATTCTATAGCAGGTGGGGTTTAGCCTAGATGGACTGCCTTCATCTACCCTGGAGCTAGCCAGGGCATCATAACTCACAGTTTGTGTTGGTCTGGTGCTGCTCTGATTACAGATTCCTGGGGTGAAATCCTGGCCCAATTGCAGTAAAAGGCAAAACTCCCACTGGCTTCACTAGAGTCAGGATTTCATCCTGAAAATGCTGTCATTGCTTACAGGAGTTAAACTCTCTGCTGCTACTGCCCTTCAAGAAACAGGCATCAGTTCTAAAGAAAGGGCCAGAAGAAGAAAACTGACCAGAGGCAAAAAATAGAGAGGGCTCATAGCATGTGTCAGTGTCCATCCTTTGTAAGATCATACCCACGGGTTCTACTCAATGATTACAGTACTGTGCCCCAGAAGGGCTGCAATCTTACGCATGCTGTAAAATCCATCATCTGCTCCATCCTGGCCGCAAGTTGACTGGGTGCGTCCGAGTCCGACGGAGAAGACTCGGTGCCTTCTGCTTCCTGAGCCTGAGCTCCTCTGGCCACCTTGTTTGGAAGCTGGCCCTTGACATGAACAAAGGGAATTCCCAGCATTACAGACAAACACAATGACAATAAAGTGAATTGGGTGAAATCAGTCACTTCATGGCATCCAGGCCTACCAATGGCGCCCCTCCTTCGCCCTGGGACTGGCTGCTGTACTCCTGTCTGGCCTAGGAACTCCTTCCTCATCAGTAGGCCGCTTCTGTAGCACTCACTCTGTGGTTAAGAGCCTGGAGCCCTCTGAGAGCCCACCACTCCCCTAACTGGCCACAGGCTCCCAAGAGAAGTACATTCGTCACACTCCTGCTCATAGGGTGACCAGATGTCCCGATTTATAGGGACAGTCCCAATATTTGGGGCTTTATCTTACATAGGTGCCTATTATCCCCCACCCCCTGTGCCGATTTTTCACGGTTGCCGTCTGGTCACCCTACTTGCTCACCAACCACACCCTCTTTCCTGCTGCAAGGACCCCTTTGTCATAGGCTGTGGGCCTTCAGAACAGCCCAGGCTGAGAGACCCCTTCACCTCCAGGCCCCAAGCTGGCTGTGGTCAGTCAGGACTGTGTGGTGGAGAGGAAAGCCCCTGGCCTCCAAGTTGGGCAGCCATACTCTTGGGCTCCAATGCTGGAGAGCTCAACCATAGCCCAAGGCTAAGAACCTCTTAGTTCTATGGACACATGAAGACCATGGAGACCTACACTGAAGGAGCAGCTGGAGATCCAGAGCCCAGCTGCCCTGAAGCTCACAGAAGAGAATGGATTTGTTGTTGTTACCTACATTGAGAGGCCTGATTTTTTCCCCCTGCCCAAGCTCTGAGGTGCTGTCTGAACCACGTTTCCCCTATGACACCCCCAAGCTGGCCCCTCACACTCCTATGCAATGGGAAATTAGCAGGGAGTGTGGGATGCATGCCAGCCTCAGCCTAGTAATGACGCTGTGCTGGTGTCCTGTTACCTGCACTGACATATTCGACCACGGTTGGCAGGTAGCCACTGGTGCTCAGGTCCACCGGGACAAAGGCCGTGTACTTGCTGATGACATTGCAGACTTTGCTGGTTTGGACGGCATTTATCTGGTACCGCCTCCCAGCCCCTGTTGGGTGAGAGATGTCAGGTTACGATCCATGAGTATTGTGGGCTCAGACCCTCTCCCAGGACCTAGATCACAAAAGCCACCTACACTCCTTGACCTCCTCACTGGCACTCTCAGCAAAGACACCCAGGACTGAACTGACCGTGGGGACTGGCATATCCCTTTTCCCAGAGCTGTGGTCTCTCTGGGGCAGGATCAAGGCACAGTGGAATGGGAAAGCATGCGGAAATTTCTGTGGCTGCTGCAAGCCGTAGTCCTATTTGGTGGCTGACTAGATAGTGCCATTCTCCAGGGCCAGACACTGCATACTCCAGGGCCGTCATCCAGCACCCGAGCAGTGAAGTCAAGCAAAAAAGATAGTAAGCCCAATATTACAGCCCAGAGAGAAGCACTCCAGGTACTCGGCCAGTTTGGGGCTTCCTCCCAGGTGGGACAGAGCTGAGAACAGGGGAATGGCCTAGGGAAAGAAGGAGAGAGATTGCTTCGGTGCGAGGGGCCGTCCATTAGATTCTCCTACGCTGCTCATTCTCCCTCTTTCCTCTGGTTTAGTGCCTTGGAAACCCCTTCTCACTGTGTGCCCTCAAAGACCCCATCCCAGCTTGTATTCAAGAAGCAAGGCAGGCTGTCTGGAAGTGCTGATTCAGCTTTAGGGAGACAGCCAGCTCTGACCGATGTGCTCAGTCAAGCTGCCAGCTCTTCTGTACCTTAATGTTGAGCCATTGGGTCTTAACTCAAGGATCCCAGTGATCTGAAGCACTGGGACCCTTTGGATTGCCCGATGTTTCTTTGCCACCGTAGCACAGATGGGATCACAGTCAGCGCTTGCTGGGGCTGGCACCAGTTGGTACCAGTGCCTTTCAAAAGCCTTTGAATGTTTTCGTATCCATCTGTACCGCACCACTGGAAAGTGATGTGCCACAATGCATTGCCGTAAAACACCTCTGAGCCCACCAACAAACCAAGCCACCGTGAAACAAACCATCCCCACTTGAGTCAACAGGCCAAGCCTAGAGGTGTCAAGCCTCACATGCTTCCAATTAGCAGCCCAACCCAGCTTCAGCTGTGCTCCTCTTATGGGGTGTGTACCCCGCACAGGCAATGAAAAGGTTAATGTGGATCTGAGAGGCTAATACGCTACCTGGATGCAGTGGGGGGGAAGGGATGGCCCAGGCTTAATTAAAAATGAAGCCCAGCTGGGGAAGGAGCTGGGTGGTGACTATAAAGAAGGGAAATTAAGCTTAGAAGGGGGCTGCAGGGAGGAACTCTGCAATCACTCTCTGGGACTAGAGCAGCAATGCTCAGACCATGGCGGTTCAAGAGTCAAATTAGTGATAAGCCCAAAAGAGCCCCAGTCATGTGAGTTCATTGTTTCATTTACTATACGTTCTAGTCAGATTTAAACAGTATGACAGGGGAAATATTTTGCTTTTTATAGACATGTATATTATTCTCATGGCAAATAAGTTAATAACTTAGTGCAAGTTGATAACTTAATTGGTTAATAACATAGTAAAAGCACCCGGTGTTTTAATATCATGGGCTGCAAAGAGCCGCAGGAGACACGTTAAAGAGCGGTGTGTGGCCTGTGAGTCGCCATCTTGAGTATCACTGGGCGAGACCATGGAGAGGCTGGGAGGGTCAAGGAGGAAGCCCGGGGGAGGAGTTGACACTGGGATCCTCTTGTGATTAGACAAGTCTGGCAGGAGGCCAGGAGAGAGTAGGAGCAAGCTCTGGTGATGAGTCCTGATACCAGGGCAGGATCTGGATGTCTGGGAAGAGAGCCCTGGGAGGCATTTAACTGGGGAGGGGTGGAAGGTTAAGCCCAAGGAGAGCAGAAGTTGGGTTAAGTTGTACTTTTGGTTTGGGATGTCTGGGGGGATTCCAGGGGACAGCTGTGCGAGTCCTGGCCCTGAAAGAAGGGTGAACTTTGGGGGGCAGTGGGAGAGACCAGCTGCAGTCGGTACAAGCCCAGGGAGGCAGCAGCATGGTGTCTTACAGAGCAGCCTTTGACAGCTGATTATAGGGACCCTGGACTGGAACCCAGTGTAATGGGGGGGCCTGGGTTCCCCTGCTCATCACTGGGAAGGTGGTGTGCAGCCCTGGATGACACAGGATAAGGAGTTTTGAGACAAAAATGGATTTAAGGACCACAGGGCCTCCAGTCGAGGCAGAAAATCTTTTGTAAGCACCTTGAAGTTTTATTTGTTGGACTTTCTGATACCCAGCAGGGATGGGACTAAAGTGTGACCTGGTTGGGGGATGGAGTCACGAAAGGAGGCAGAGCTCACGGGACCAGAGTGACCAAGAATAGGGGGTGCTGGAGAGAGAGGAGCAACTATGCCATGCCCAGCCACAACCCAGCGCACCCGCAGGGAATCCACTCTGCAGTAGCTGCCCATGCATACCCAGCTCCCATCTAAATAATAGCATCTTCTCCTCCTTTCCTCGTCAGCATGTGTGTCCCTTTCAAGGCTGGCTAGTAATTCTCTCCTTGTTTCTTAATGCATGCCTTTGATTTTACTTCTCCATGACATTTTCATCCCTGGGTTACTTCAAGAAAGGGATGAAGAGCGGAGAGATGCTACCAGCCTACAGTAGAGGACATTGCTAGCTGGCAGAGCTCAGCATTGTACGCTGGCTCCTAATCCTGTGTCCCCCCAGCCCTCTCTCCCATCTCACTGTCTCTTGTTCCACAGTGCCAAAGGCCTCCTCCTTATTAACTCCTGAGGGTTGAATTCATCTCTGGTGTAAGTCCTTTGAAATCAGTGAAAGTTACCCCAATGATGCCTTTTTGGTTCATATGTCTTTGGTTCATATGTTTTCAGACCAATTCTGTGCCCATGCACGTCCCCAGAGTTCAATGGGTTTGAATCGGAGCAGAATTTGGCTCTCTAACTCCCACCGATGAATAGGCAAAGAAAAAATAACCCTCCCCAGCCACTGAAGCAACACCTGAAAATCAATCCGCAGCCGAACAGGCTCAGACCTGTCGGTTTCCTTTCCCAGCTCAGTTTTCCTTTCCCAGCCCATTCATTTTCATGGCAGAAGCCTTTGCACTTCTGGGCCAGGACTGGAGGCAGAAACAGTGACATTCAAAGAGGGGAACAAACAGTTCTCTGCACTTCTGTCTGTGCCAGAACTGGGAAATAGCAGAAATATCACAAGGGGACTTGTGATCAAGAGATCCCCAGCCCAGGAGGTTTGGCTAATTCACAGACTTGTTCAGAGACATGTCCAAACAGCTCCGCAAGGAGTGATAATCAGGGCTAGATTCCTAGTAGAGCCTAAACTTCTGGATCCTTCTTTGAACGGAACCGTTTGATGTTCCATTCAAAGCCAGGCCCTGAGAATTGGGACTCCATGGCGGAGGGGGCTGAACAGCAGGTGTTGTGTTTTGGTTCTCAAAAGGCCTAAAAAGCATTTGATTTGGGCTCATGACTCAACGTGACTAACCCTCTAAAAATATAACTAGCCTCCCTATGTGGGAAGCAGGGGAGTGTGGGAAACGGTGAGAGGGCGAGGAGAAGGAGCATGCTAACATGCAGCAGGGATATTTAATGAGCAATTAGGTGAGCTGGAGAAAAGCGCAGAGGGCATGAGGCCAGCTTTGGGAGACTCTCCTCAGATCATCACATGGAGCATCAACACATGGCCACAGTGCATCTTCACCAGGTGACCTTGCGTTAACACGTGATAACACTGAGGGCCACATCCCCAGCTGCCGTAAATTGATGTGGTATAATTGAGGCTACTGCAGCTGCAATGGTTTACACCAGCTCTGGGAATCTGGCCCTCCATTCTCACTGAGGCTGGCTGGCAAGGACGCTGGCATTACCGTGTTCGATTTCACATTCCTTCTCGGCCAGCTGCTCGAAATCCCGGATGATGGACTTTGCCGCCAAGTGGTGGAAGGTCTCGTTCCACAGATCCCCTTCACCATTCTCACAGCTCTCTCTGTTTTGGAACAGGGGCCGGATGTCAAAGGTGATTTCCCACTGGACAGGCTCATTACTCCTTAACCCCTTCACCACTGCCTTGCAGATGGCCCTGGGGGAGCGCGGGGACCACGTGGTGGAGCTGAGATCAAGCTCTTGGGGATCGCAGTCTGACGAAGTCTCTGTTTCAAAGGCAAAGGAAGGGTGCTGGGCAGATTCTGCAAGCAAGCAACAGGCACATAATGAATTAGCATCACAGTGAAGGGCAAGGCCACCTCCCATCCTCTGCTGTCACTGGTGTGCCAAGGAGCTTCCCAAATGAGGGCTACTTTGACAACATGCCAGAGTAGGAGTTAGAACCCAGGATTGACTGTCAGGACACTTTGGGTCAAATTCTGCTCCCAGTTACACCCACTGATGTCAGTGGGTTCCTGTATTTTGTATCTGACAGCAAATGACTCATGGTGTGACGTTGGGCAAGTGACCTAACTGCCTGGTGTCTCAGTTTCCCCCAGTGTTAAATGGGGATTATACCATTTTCCCGGGTCTTTATGAGTCTTCATTCGTGTTTGTAAAGCACTTTTTGATCCTTGGATGAAAGACACGATAGCAGTGCAAATAGGGTTGCCAGGGTGTCCGGTTTTTGACCAGCACGCCAGGCTGTAAACGGACTCTGGTGGCTACAGTCAGCACCACTGACCGTGCCATTAAAAGTCCGGTTGGCGGTGCAGCAGGGCTAAGGCAGACTAGTCCCTACATGTCCTGGCACCGTGCTAAGCCCCGGAAGCAGCCAGCAGGTCCGGCTCCTAGGCGGGAGGGTTGAGGGGCTCCGCACGCTGCCCCAGCCCCGAGCACCGGCTCTGCACTCCCATTGGCTGGGAACCCCAGCCAGTGGGAGCTGGGGGGGGGGCAGTGCCTGCGGGCAAAAGCAGCGCGCAGAGCCTCCTGGCCCCCCAGCCTAGGAGCCGGACTTGCTGCTGGCCACTTCCGTGGTGCAGCGCGGTGCTATGACAGGCAGGGAGCCTGCCTTATTCCTGCTGCGCTACTGACTGGGAGCCACCTGAGGTAAACCCGCACCCTGACCCCGAGCCCCAACACCCTGCCCCAGCACTGATCCCCCCCCCAACCCGGAGCCTCCTCCTGCACCCAAAACCATGCATGCCCGCACCCCCAGCCCAGAGCCCGTACCCCCTCCTGCACCCAAACCCCCTGCCTCAATCTGCAGTCCCCTTCCACACTCCGAATCCCTCGGTCCCACCCCCCAGCCTGAAGCCCCCTCTTGCACCCCAAATCGCTCATCCCTAGCCCCACCCCAGAGCCCGCACCCCCGGCCGGAGCCCTCACCCCCTCCTGCACCCCAAACCCCTGCCCCCACCCAGTAAAAGTGAGGGAGGGTGGGGGAGAGCGAGCCACCAAGGGAGGGGGAATGTAGTGAGAGGTGGGTGGGGACTCAGGGAAGGGGTGGGGCGAGGGTGTTTGGTTTTGTGCTGTTAGAAAGTTGGCCACCCTAAGTGCAAAACAATAAGTAATAATTAACAACATGAAGGGGGGGGATGTCTCTTCTGGAAACTACCTATCCCAGCATGCAATGTTCCATCTTCATACAAGTGACTGGGCGTCTTTGCAGACTGCAAAAGAGGAGAGTGGTTGAAGGTTGCAGCGTACAGCCCCCACGGGGCTGCATCAGGCCAAGTGCAGTCGTAGGCCTGGCCGTTCATGGGGGAGCATTAGCCGCTTTGCAATGCATGCTGGGATACTTGGAGATGCAGAAAGGGGCCAGAACATTGCCAAGGGTGATTGACGCTCGTCGGGTGCTTTAAAATAAACTGCTGTTCCTGGAGAACAAATGTAAAAGGTGTCACCAACCTTTAATGGGAACAGTGACACACCTTTCATCCACCTCCCTGGTGTCAGAGTTGCCAATTTTGGTTGGACATATTCCTGGAGTTTTCATCGCACAATATGATCTTTAATTAAAGATTACTCCCCTTCCTGGAGCCTCCCCAGGACAATCCTGGAGGGCTGGCAACCTGAAGATCACTGCCAACAAACACACCGCCCTGGGAGTCTACGACACCCCTAATAGAATGGCCACGCCACGGACGGCCTCCCACGCTGTCATCCCCTTTCTCGGGCCATCTCTCTGGAACCCACACAATGCTGGGCTCCCAAGAACAGGGTTACAATGGAAATGGTGGGCTGGCTGGGGTACATTGGCATGGCTCCATCAATGGTCAGTGGAATTATTACAGCTGCGGATCTGGTCCAGTGAGTGAAACAAAGTTTGGTTTACCCCACACATGCTGTGAAAGGGGTAATATGGGCTTGAGAAGCCAGTTAACCAGGCTGCGGGCACCAGGAGGCGGCGCCAGGCCTGATTAGGGATAAAGCCCAGCTGGAGGGGAGCTGGGGTTGTTTTTGCTGGGATTTTGTTTTCCCTCATAAAGCGCTGGGGCCTGGGAATGCCCAGCGGGAGAGAGGAGACCCTCTCTCTGGGAAGCAGCCTGAGGAAACAGAGCGGAGCAGCTACTCCAGGGGTGAGCTGGAAGCCTGCTTGGAGACCAGGGCCTTAAGTAACTGGAACCTGCCTGAAGCCCTGAGTTTGTCAGCCCAGATAGTGGGGTTGTTGAATGCCCAGGAGCCTGGACAAGGCATAGGGGCAAACGGTAGAGGATGAGACGTACTTGTGAAGAGGAGAAGGCCAGCTGAGCCCAGCCGGGCTGAAGGTTTGTTTTGTTTACATTTCTGCTGGACTTTAGTCAAGGATACTGTGGTCCCAAAAGGGGCTAGACTCTGTAAAATGGTCTGGCTGAAGGGCTAGGACCCTCTTCTGGCTGGAGTAGGCCAAAAGAAAGGGAGGGGGAACTGAGGCAAGAAGTGGTGCAATTCCATATTCAGCCAGGAGGGGGCATGTTGGGGCAGCAGTTTTGCCCCTGGCCTCTTTAAGATTTGACCAACGTTTCCTAATTTACCAATACAGGCCGCAAGGTGCTATGGTGAGAGGTGCACAGACAGACTGGTTAGAGTGCTCTTCATAGCAACCTGCTGGATGTCACTTACCCTGATCCCCAGGGCTCCGGCTGCCCGAGGAGGATCTCAGGACAGAGCTGGTCTCCGGCTGACCCAGGCACCTGCCTGGAGCCATGTGTTGGAGGCCATCCCGTGGCTGGGGAGCGTCCACGTCCTGACAAAACAGCAAAGAGGGCCTCCTGGCGCCGGTGCCTCGTATCCGTGTGGTGGCGACGTAGGGGCTGGCGGTGAAAGGCTGTGAACAGGGAAAGGTCAGAGTGGGAGAGATGGGCATGGACAATGCGTGGGAGTCTTGTTAGGAAAGACACGAGCACAACAACTGTTAGAGGGGTGTGTATGGCAACAGACCGCTGGAAAGAAGAGGTTTGTGTAGGAAATGGATGGATCGATAGGAAGGCGAGATCCCACCACCCACCCACCTGTGTTTGACCCATTCCCTTCCTGACCCAGCTATCTTATTGGCTTGTCAGACATGCAAAACCCTGACATGGGAAACAGCATCTGTTTACTGAACACAAGTGTTTCACCACCACCACCACCCCGCAAAGTTTCCCTGACAACCGACTGGGATTTATTTCTCAGTGCATGCCCCAGATGCATTCCCTTTGAGGCTGGAATGAGTCATCGAGGGAGTGCCTTCCCCTGACCAGTGGAAGGATCAATGTGAATTTCCACAGTCCGGCTCTTTTAATGACTTCACATGGAAATTAAGAGAAGGACGAAATAGGCAGGCTGGGGCCCAGCGACTTAGTTACGAAGGGAAAACTGAGCAGCGTGTTCCTCCTCCTTAAAATAGTCCCTTGGGGGTGGGCAGAAAGGGAGCGAAACAGATCCCTGTGTCAGCGCTTCAGTGTAGACTCTACCTACGCAGACGGGAGGGCTTCTCCTCCCAGGGTAGATGCTCCCCGAGAGGCAGTAGCTAGGTTGGCAGAAGAATTCTTCCATTGACCTAGCGCTGTCTATGCTGGGGGGCTAGGTCGGCTTAACTATGCCCCTCCCGGGGGAGGGGGATTTTTCACGCCTCTGAGCAACATAGGTAAGCTGATTTAATTTTCTAGTACAGACTAGGCCTTAGACAGCAGCATTCATACCTTTGTCCAGCATCTCTAAGGCTGGTCTCTGTATGGACACTATGTCCCTGGGAGCAGGAGAGACACAGAAATCCTAGTGTTGCAGAAAGACGCCCTGAAGGCCAATATCCTCTGATTACTCACAGACCAAGCTCAGCATGGCAGTGGCAAGCTTTGCCCTGGCCTCTGGTGCAAATACCTCTGTCCTGACCTGGCAGGGCCCTCTCTAGGGGTTGGGTGGGGCATTCAGTTTCCATAACCCATTCAACCCTTGGCCTCTCTTCTAAAACTGCCCGCAAGAATGGAGGGGAGTGAGGGCAGAGCAGTTTGGAGGGTGGATTTTGGATGACGGACCTGTCTCTTGTGGATTGGATGCAGATCACCAAACTAATTTCCAGCTTCCCACCGCTCCTCGATTGTCCAGAGCCCGCTCTGTCTGGGTCGGAGGGAATTCCCTTTCCCCCGCACTGGGCCTCTTGAGTCCCTGCCCACTACTTGCTTCTTTCCCATAAACATCCCTCTAGTACTGCCCCAGCCCTCGGAGGAGGGCTCACTGACTTGTCTAAGCCATGCCAGCCCCATGTAGGGAGACCTGCGATGAAGGGACACTCCCTCCCCCTTGTTCTCAGCTGAGTTTGGCGTCTCTTGATCCCTGAAAATGCCCCTAAGGAGGTAGAGCCTAAGCAAGGAGGCATCTGAGGTGAGCTCAGTGGAAAGTCTCTCTGTGGAAGCTACTGCCGGCACATTTCCGCATCCCCAGCCCATGTTTCCGCTCGCGCTTTCCCCGCCTGAGCCTTTCTCCTTGGAGATCAGGGAAGCATCTGGGAGTTTAAACCATCCATCTTGGCGCGCTGACCTTTCCTTTCCAGTTGCGGTGTGGGTATGGGCGGGAGGGGGGAAGAGCTCTACGTCCACGTCTCTGAAAATGTCAAGCTCCCCCCCAACCCATGTCCAATCTGCAGCCCTAGGCGGCTCTCACAATGTGAGAGATGCCGTAAAACAGGCAGCAATGTAAAACCAAGCAGAACACACACGTCTAACCCCCGGCTGTGTTCTGACGAGGGCCAGTTTCTCCTTGTCGTCTTCTAAACTCCATCATCCCCCACAATGCACAGAGACTGGGGCCTGGCCGACCCTAACGGTGCAGACACCGAATGGGGGAAGGACACAAATACCTCTCCAGCCCTACAGCACAGAAGGAATGAAGCATCCACCCTGGCATGTCTGTAATGAACCATCCCTTAGAAACGCCTGGACTTTGTGATGTTCCACAGACCAGCACCCAACATCTCCCCCTACCCCTGCGGGACGAATTCCTCTCCCCTGTGTTCTACTCATCTCTTCCCTCCACTCTCTTATTGTCTCTCTTTCACAGCCCTCCATCACCCCATTTTTCCTTCCCCATTCCCTTCCCTGCCAATCTCTGTAACCTTGTGGCAGATAAGAAGCCTATCGAAGACCTCAGATACCCTGTTCAGGGTTGTCATGGGAACGGGGATGCAGCAGCAGCTGTTCGTGTTCTGGTCTGCCCAGGCTTGCTGCAGACACTGATCTCGAAGGAGACCGTCTCAGTCATGTCAAACAGCAGAGTGAGCCATTCCAGCCCTTTGCCTGAAAATCGCCATGCTGATAACAGGGTCAAAGGGGACTGAATGCCTCTGATTCACCGCAAACCACGGAAATCACCCTTTCAGCTAACCTCACCTTTTCATTTCAGTTTATAAGGACCTCAGAAGGGAAGCGAGCAGCCTTCTTGTGGGCTGAATTTTGGACCCTTCCCACTCAGCATTCCCAGCATATTCCTGGCCTTCTCTTGTAAAAAGGCACTATCCCTGGAGCATGGGTGGCCGTAGGGGCCCACAAGCACTAGGAAGCTGTTTCAGCTGGCACAAGTTAGAGCAGCTTGGAGGCTGCTCTAGTTTGCACCAGGGGCTGAATTATCTTCCAGCTGTCTCTGGGATGGTGGGGGAGCAAAAATTTGACAAAGCCACCTCTATCCCCTGCCTCAGGTGCAGTGGGTGGAGATCAGGCACACCTGAATCTCTCTGGCCCAATGAAGTACCACCAGGGAATGAATTGGACCCACGGTCCCTTAAGGTGTGGGAGTGGTCAGAATTATTGGGACATTGATGCAAACTCATTCTGGGGATAATGTTGCCCGTTGTATCTATGTGAAAAGAAAGAGCTGTGAATTAAAGCAAAATCTCTCTGGAAACTTGCTTGGAGCAGACTTTCCTCTCCAGCTCCTTTTGTACCCTATCTTTCATTTCCTTGGACCCGCTGTTGTATTAACAGGGGGTTTGCATCAAGATTAACTTTGTGTTCTGCTGTGAGGCATGCAGGCACTGCTGCAGATCTGAAGGGTTTAGATCATTTGGCCAAACTCCAGTGAAACATGAACCCAAGAAGAATTCAAAGGTATAACTAGGATCAAGCAAAGTTCAGGCCCCTCTGATGAAGGAGACAGTAGAGATGCCGACACAACACGTGAGCCCAGGCTATGAAAAGAAGTGGTGGACCCATTGTGTGCCCCCGCTGGAAATCTGGACAGGCTTTTTCTACCTGCTGGCCTTTATTTCTGGCGGAAAAGTTTTCTCCTTGGCACCACGTTGCAGCACAAAATGCGCATACGTGCACAAGTGCGCCCCAGGTCTGAGCCCCTCGAACCTGGGAGCTTTGCCTGCCATCGCAAGGCTGCCCCTGCACCTGACTTTGTGGGCATAGTCACCTGAGCGTGTTTTTAAGGGGGGCAGGAGAGCACTGTGTGACTATAGTGGTTGGTTTGGAGACAGGGCCTTGGGAGAGGAGGCATTGGACATGGCGCACTGAAGAGCATCCTACACCCCAGAGGTTGCACTGGGGCCTGGGAGCAATGCTGGAAGCCCCAGCTCTGGGGTGGTGTGTCATAAATATAAAGGGAAGGGTAACCACTTTTCTGTATACAGTGCTATAAAATCCCTCCCAGCCAGAGGCAAAATCCTTTCACCTGTAAAGGGTTAAGAAGCTAAGGTAACCTTGCTGGCACCTGACCCAAAATGACCAATGAGGGGACAAGATACTTTCAAATCTGGAGAGGGGGAAACAAGGGTTCCGTCTGTCTGTGTGATGCTTTTGCAGGGAACAGATCAGAAATGCAAGCCTTCCAACTCCTGTTAAATTAGTAAGTAATCTAGCTAGAAAATGTGTTAGATTTTCTTTTGTTTAACAGCTGGTAAAATAAGCTGTGCTGGAGGGAATGTATATTCCTGTTTTTGTGTCTTTTTGTAACTTAAGGTTTTGCCTAGAGGGATTCTCTATGTTTAGAATCTGATTACCCTGTAAGGTATTTACCATCCTGATTTTACAGAGGTGATTCTTTTACCTTTTCTTTAATTAAAATTTTTCTTTTAAGAACCTGATTGATTTTTCATTGTTCTTAAGATCCAAGGGTTTGGGTCTGTGTTCACCTGTACCAATTGGTGAGGATTATTATCAAGCCTTCCCCAGGAAAGGGGGTGTAGAGCTTGGGGAAATATTTTGGGGGAAGACGTCTCCAAGTTGTCTCTTTCCCTGTTCTTTGTTTAAAATGCTTGGTGGTGGCTGCATACTGTTCAAGGACAAGGCAAAGTTTGTACCTTGGGGACGTTTTTAATCTGCTCTGCTCCTTCCACTCACCATGCACCCAGCATGCTGAGATCATTCAAAAATCGGGCTACTGGTTCCCAGCTGATCTGAGTGCATTTGAAAACCTGGCCACAGTACAGGGACGCCAGTGTCCAGGGGAACTGCGGTGGCCCTGAGACTGCTCTGCTAGGTCCAGGGGGGAGAAGGGTAGGAAAGGCTCTTACCCTGCAGCTTCTGTGCTGGAGACACTGGGGATGGGGAGTCACATTGTAACTCCTGGATCTCCAGGCTCCAGTGCAAGAAAATGGCACGTCAGGAAGGAACTATGCCATGTAACAGGACCTGCGGGCAGTGACGCTGCCATGTGCTCCTGAAAGAGCCTCTCCGAGCTAGAAAGCGAGGCCCACGCTGTGCTGGCATAAGGGGCAGCAGTGCGAGGATACCCTGGAGAGGCCCCTGCTGGTATATCCCACCGTCGAGGCCCAGCACCGGCCCTTACCTGGAAATCCGCTAACCATGGCTGTGGCTCCGGGCTGAGCTGGCACAGATCCTGTATGTGGGCTTTGCGAAGGGGATTCTTCCCCAGGGCTGCGCTCGGATCGCTGGCTGTGGGGACCCTCTTGAAAGGCTCGTGGCTGACAATCTGATTGGTGCTGTACACCCTTCGCCTGGAGGAGGATTTAGGGTCCAGCCCTGTTCGAAGGAAGAGCTGATCAGCAGCGGGACCAGCCAATGCCAGTGAGGTCTTTAACATCACTTGTTTCAGGCAGCAGAGAATGGGAGGCCCCTTCCTCTAGAGGGCAGAGAGCCCCACTCAATCACTCTTACCGACTCCACAGAGAATCGCCCTGACTCTGCTGGGAAGATGGACCTTGGATGGGAGAGAGATAAACCAGGCAGGGGGAAGGACAATGAGAGACTTGTGCTTGAGAGCCCCAGGGAAAAGAACCCTCCACACTGCTCATACGCAGGGGTGGCCCAGGCATGAAGGGGCCAAGCTTTGGAATACAGTACATGGACTTACGTTCATAGAGTAGCTTTCATCCTGAAGGATCCCTATTCGAATCAGGGATCCCTGCACCCAGGACTGACATGCAGCCCTTCCTGGGATGGAACACAGCCGTGACACTGTTGGAATTTGACTGGGCCAACAGGATTAATACCCTTAGCCTTGAGAAAAGTGCCAGGGACTCGTTAATGTCCAAGAGGCCAGGACCTGGGTTTTACATCTGCCCCAGACTCCTCTCTCCTCACTGTTGAGTGTGACTTTGATACTTGGTGAGTGCTGGGACTGTTTTGCAAGTCTGAGGAATGTCTAGCCAAAGACTTGAACACCTCTGTCCTCTCCCATGCTTAGCAGGTAGGTAAACATCATTCGCCCCATTCTGCTGATGGGGAACGTGAGGCAGGGAAAGGCAAAGTGACTTGCACAAAGTCTCCAGCAAAGTCAGTGGCAGATCCAGGAATAGAGAACCAAAGAGTCCTGATTCCCAGTCCCCTAGTCTAACCCCTCTCCCTCCTTTTGTGGAAGCAAGAGGGCCTGGCAGGTCTCCAGAGGAATACACTATTCAGGCTGCCGAGTAGTGGGATGGGATTCAATAAGATCCTACATCTGGGATTGGAATTTGGCCTGATCCAAACCTTGCAGAGGGTCACCAAGAGCCCGGGAAGCCTTTTAGTGCAGATGGTTTTGACTACGAGAGGGAGCGTAAACTTTGCAATAATAATCCCAGGGCCAAAGCCCAGGATGTGCTGCAAATCTCGGGGGATGCCTATTCTCAGTGGGTTCCCAGTTCGATTCCCAGACATCTTTGAATAAAGCAGCCAAGCCAAGTGGAGTCTCTGAGCTTTGTGTGATTTGTTGCCACTTCTCCAGAGACCCCTGTCACTTCACAGAGATACAGCTGAAGGGATGTTATCTGAAAGCGACAAACCAGTGGCTAAAGGCAATGATCAGGAAGAGGAGTGGGTGATGCTACTGGGTTTACAACAAGAAGAAACTGACCAGTATCTGGGTCAGATTCTCTCCTCGGTTCTTCGCCAACCACCAAGAGATCAGGGGTCTGCTCTGAAGGGAGCCCCCCCGCAGAGTCCTTGGGATAGCTCCAGCTGTCCAAGCTAGCTCCCTCTTCCTGGGAGTGAAAGAAAACGGAACTGCCTGACTCCTGGGAATGCATCATGCTGTAACGCCGTCTCTTGTCCTGGGAAAGAAAGGGAAAGAGAGGAATTGGGCTGAAATGCTGCATCCGCTCTGGCCTGCTGGATCTGGAAAGGGCTCAGGATGTGCATGGAATTGGCAGTCTTAGCAATTCACACATCCCCACCCCTCTTGATGAAGTGCCGGGATACCCCATGTCTAGTGCCCCTTCTCCCTATATCCCATTGACCCAGACCCCTTCTCCCCTCCCCCGCTGTCCCTGATCATAGAACTGGAAGGGACCTCGAGAGGTCATCTAGTCCAGTCCCCTGCACTCAAGGCAGGACTAATTATCTAGACCATCCCTGGCAGGTGTCTGTTCAAGCTGCTCTTAAAAATCCCCAATGATGGAGATTCCACCACCTCCCTAGGTGATTTACTCCAGTGCTTAACCACCCTGACAGTTAGGACGCTTTTCCTAATGTCCAACCTAAACTGCCCGTGCTGCAATTTAAGCCCATTGCGTCTTGTCCTAGCCTCCGAGGTTAAGAAGAACAATTCTTCTCCCTCTTCCTTGTAGCAACCTTTTATGTACTTGAAAACTGTTACCATGTCCCCTCTCAGTCTTCTCTTCTCCAGACTAAACAAACCCAATTTTTTCAATCTGCTCTCACAGGTCATGTTTTCTAGACCTTTAATCATTTTTGTTGCACTTCTCTGGACTTTCTCCAATTTGTCCACATCCTTCCTGAAATGTGGTGCCCAGAACTGGACACAATACTCCAGTTGAAGCCTAATCAGCGTGGAGTAGAGTGGAAGAATTACTTCTCGTGTCTTGCTTGCAACACTCCTGCCTCACTCCTTCACATCCTTATGCCTCAGGCAATTACAGCTGGTGCTTTTCAAGACTGTTGGCTTGTGTTATGTTTGGGAAGGAGAGGAAGAGAACAAAGCACAGTGGGATCAAACAACCACCCCACCTTCCTCCTGCACCTCAGTGGTGCACAGTTGACCCGTGAATGGAAGTGGGGCAAGCCACTCAGCAAGACACCCTGTCTGGTGGCAGAGTTTTCTGTGCATGTGACGAGCATAATATCCAAAGAAAGATTCACGTTACAGCCATCGTGGCCTTGGTAGAGCAGCCCTGCAACAGTATGTGGCTACCAAGCTAGGAACTCCTGCTGATCGAACTCTCCACCATGGTTCCCTCTTCCCCATACAGCCGCATTCACTTCATGACTCATATCTGAGAGAGAAGTCTCCATGCCAGGGAGGAGTGAGAGAGTGTGTAACTGGCTCCCCCACCACACCCGCATACACACATGCAATGCACACCCCCACACTTCATGCGCACTCACACATACACATGGATTCACACACACCATGCCCGTGCACACCCAACACATATGAATACACAAACATACACAGGCATATGCATACCCACCCAGGGTGCACGCACACTGCCCATGGGGCTGGGAAATATGGCAGAGGTTACTTACAGCTCTGGGGTTGGAGATGTACAGGGACGTGTCACAGACAATGCTGTACCCAACCAGCCGATCACCAGGGAAGAGGCAGCTGGCACTGACTGGGGAGATCAAGACCTCAGTGGTTTCAGGAAAGACCCACTCCACGGTTACATCGCTCAGGACAGGTGCCATAGCTTTCTTCAGAGACTTGATCATCTGCCAGGACAGAGCACAAACCCACGTGGTCTGTCAAACGGCAGAGGGGAGGGTGTTGTGAATGAGTGTGCGGGCATGTGTTGTGAGCATGGGCATGCATAGATGCCAGAGTGTGTTGGCATGCACCTGTGGGTGAGTATGTGAGTGTGTGAACACGCCGGGGTGTCTCAGTGTGTTGCACAGTGAAGATAAACAGACCTGCCCACCTGGATTTCAGTCGTCGATTGTCCTCTCCAGAACCCATCACAATGTGATGTCTTGAGTCTAGCTGACAGAACAGGCTGAGCTCACAGGGAGAGGCCGATGGCCCAGCTGCTCTTGTCTCCTGCCTGCATCTTACACATGATGCTTCAGGGGAAAGTGGAAAAAATCCACCCTATACACATCTGGCCGATTGGGCAAATTGATCTGCCCCATGGGAGTGAGAGACACCAGCGTAGAGCGAGACGGCCCTGTGATCCCTGGGAACTCACCTGCTACATGCCACCTGTCTCCAGTATTCCAACCCCCTCAACGGAGCATGCGGGTGGTTTATGCCATCTGATCCTTCAGCTGCCAGACATCAGTCTGGTCCAAGGAAGCAACATAGAGCATCCCTGAGGCTGCTCCAAATCGTGCCATCTACCACCAGCCCTCTGCACTCCAGCCAATTTCCTTTTTGCCCTGCCAAGCCCCCTACATCAGGGGCAACAAAACCAACCATGAGTGCGTTTCAGAAAATCCTCAGTATGAATTTCAGCAGATGCCTTTGCTGCAGGATAACACTCTGGTACCTTGGATGGCAGGCAGGTCCCTGCTCTGCATAGGCATTAATCACACACACACAGTGTGGAGAGTGCTCTAACTCTGCGCCATCCCTTACCAATCTCCCCAGCCACGAGACACGCTTGCCTTTCTGTAGAGAATTCCCTGGGCCTTTCCAAACAAGCCTCCCGGGCAGACACCGAGAGATCTCTGTGCTCTGAATCAACGTGACTCCGCGTCTTCGCAAGGACAGCAAGCCCTTCTCACAAGCACACAAAGAGGCTACTGGTAGCTCAGCACTGGGCCAGCTGGGGTCAATTGGCAACACTCTATGTAAATCAACGTAGCCCCACTGACCTTTATGGAGTTATGCCAGTTTACGCTAGCTGGAGATCTAGGCCAATATCAATGTATATATATTACAGGCAAATCCATTCGTTACTGCTTTCCCACTCGGGACTGTTTTCCAGAGTGCAAAGAGAAGTTAAAAAGAGATTTACCTACAGGGCATTTTAAACTTTCTATATGGTTCAATGTCCACAATACAGGATCTGTAAGGCACACCAGGATGTGTTTGATGGGGCCATTAATTGATGCCTCAGATGGCTGAAGACCATCTGTATAACAAGTGAGGCCTGTATTAACAGCCCTGTAAAAACGCCCTTTCCTGTCTTGGGGCTTAATTTATAACACAGACACTGGTGCTTCTCTATCTTTGAAAGTGCTTCCTGGGCTATAGGGGGAACAGGATCGGGCCCTTTTGCGTGAAACAGTCATTACAGCTGGCGTTTCCGACGCGGGTGCTAGGCTGGACTGAACCAATGGGAGCTGTCAAGTTAATGCACAAAGACGGGTGAATCTCAGCCTCCCACTGAAGTCAGTAAATCATATGAACCCAACGACTGTTGCTGGGGAGAGCTGAGCGTTCTATCCCAGAGGGGCCAGGTGGGGAAATGCATAAGGTTTAGGGTCTGTCTACACTGCAGTCATGGCTAGACGGACCTGAGCTAGCTTTAATCTAGCTAGCTAAGGTACCAGAGCAGCGAAGCTGCAGCAGCATGGACTGCAGCATGCCCTAGTCTCCCAAGTAATTGCACAGCCCTCCCGGACTTCACGGCTTGATCCAAGCGAGTTCAGGTGTGTTTAGACTAGCAGCAATCACTGCCCATGATTTCAGTGGAAACAAACCCCTAGAGAACAGGAATGGAAGTGAAGGGGAGGCAGATGATAAAGGAACCATAACTCCCAGTTTGGAGTATAAATGCTGTAGAAAAGAGACGGGTGTAGGGTCTCAAACGCTGCCAGTGAGACAGGATGTAACCAGGAGAGGTGGGAATAGTGAGGCTGTGAATAATGAACCTTGCAATGCAACTCTGTGGACTGAAAGTGACAGGTGCAGGGAGCCCCGTTATTTATGGCATTGGCAGCGTGGGAGCCAGACATCAAAACCTCAGAACTGCTTCCCAGCCTGCATTAAAGTCAGTTTAACCAGCAAAACTACTGCACGGTTATTTCTCTTCCGTGGCCCCCATGAACCTCCAGGCGGCTGGGCTGAGCAAAACGGGGGATTTTGACTTCACTTCACAGCTATTAGCTGCCTGGGTGCCAAGCCCTCTGTTTCGGTCTGTGTCTACCGCTGCCGCTATGTTTGCAACCAGGAGCGTGCCGCGACTGCCGCTTCTGTTCCTCCCTGCGCACAAGCCCTGACTCTCCAATGAGTCTGACATGAAGGCTCTTTTTCATCCAGCTCTCCCCACCCACACGCTGGGTAGGAGTTGGCAAGCCAGTCCCAGAGCAAGGAATTGTGCCAAGAGCAGCTTGTGACCACCCCCACCCGCAATGAGATGAGAAGTTCACTAAAACGCAACATGTCCGTTCCCCTGGGAAACTGTTGTTGTCTGAGTCCAGAGGGGCCTACAGGAATTTCAGCTCAGGAGAGGAAGAGGTTGGGAGGGGGTATTCGGCCCAACGCCTCTGTGCTGGTGTGTTCAGGATCACCCTGATCCTGCTTCCCACGAGCCATGTTTGTGGGATGTTAACGGGTCCCCCCCGTCAAAGTCAGGGCCTGAGAAACATCCCTGCAAGGCAGTTCTTGGTCACAGTGATCCCCCAGCTTCGGGGAGTGGTGTCTGGGCCTGTGAAATCCACACCGGGCTTGCTGCCCCTGCAATGGGATGGGGGGGGTGTAAATCAGGCTTTGCAGTGGCAGTTCGTTCTGTGAGTGCAAAAATGGTGGTACAAAATAGCAGGCGGGGCCTCTGGTTTTTAGGAACTGTCCCATCAGTTCGACTTGAGCCCACTGCACTGCAGTGTTGCCATGCCATGGGTGCGCCGATGGACGGCAATGTGGAGACACCCAGCTTTGTCCTGTTGGATCAACCTGGGAAAGTGGCAATTCTAAATTCCCCTCCTAGGATTCACCTCGTCAGCCAAAATCTTTCCAATGGGGAGCAGGGCCTGGCATCGCTGGTCTCATACTGGGACATATATCAGCAGGCTAGAGATGCCCTCAGCCGCACAGGGCAGCTCTCCTCCGGCGTATCCTAACAGCCCACTGTGGCGTAAAACTCCAGTGCTAAACCCAGTGGGCTGGAGTCCTTTCTCCTTCAAATTCACCATCTAAAATCCTGCTAAAAATGATCCATCCCTCAGCACGAATAAACACCCACCACACCTCCGCCCCTTCCCTCCCGGTGCGCTGCCCTGACCCATTATACAGAAAGAGGGCAGGGTGCCTGGGGCTGGATCGGAAGGTCCCTGGCTAGCTGGGGAACAAATCTCTGGTCTCACCAGCGGGTGCTTTGCCACTGGCTTTCCTCTGGAGACATGTGTCTCCAAGGAAGAGACGACCCCCATGTCCCGCTACAAAGCACCTCTTCACATGGCTGTCAGCGGATTGGGCCACTGCCCCCTTGGCTTCTAAGGCCTCCTATTATTATTATTAGGGTTGTGGTACCCCTTGTCCTGGCCCAGGAACCCCCTTTGCCAGGTGCTGGACAAACACATAAGAGCATAAGAACGGCCACGCTGAGTCCGACCAAGGTCCATCTAGCCCAGTTTCCTGTCTTCCGATAGTGGCCAGTGCCAGGTAGTGCCCCCGAGGGAATGAACAGAACAGGTAATCATCTAGTGATCCGTCCCCTGTCACTCATTCCCAGCTTCTGGCAAACAGAGTCTAGGGACACCATCCCTGCCTATCCTGGCTAATAGCTATTGATGGATCTATCCTCCATAAGTTCCTCCGTGAACTTATCTAGTTCTTTTTTTAACCCTGTTATAGTCTTGGTCTTCACAACATCCTCTGGCAAGGAGTTCCACAGGTTGACTGTACACTGTGTGAAGAAGTACTTCCTTTTGTTTTTTTTATTAATTAACACAGGACAGAAAGCCCTGCCCCAAAGAGCTGATAATTGACTAATAATCCCTGGCTCTTCATCTTTATCCCTCAGACATTTCCCAAAGAAAGTGAGTATTATTAACCCTGACACTGAAGACAACAGAATATAGACAAGGTGAGGAGCACAAGGAGACAATCCGAGTCAGGGTCAGCATGATGGGTACTGGTGTTAGCACACCTGCCACCTAGCATGTACCCTCGGCCCATCATCCCCTCCCCCTTTCCATCGGGGCATCATTCGGGGACATGCCTGTTGTGCATTCAGAGCTCACTGGGGTGAAAAGCACCCGCCCCACTGGCTGCTATCCTGCTGACACAAAGCCCATCAGTGACCTCTGCCGTCACCCACCTGCTCAGCTGCAGGTTTGTCAAATCAGCAAATAATCCATCCGCCTTCTTCCCTCGTCTTTATGCAGTCCCAGCCCAGCCCCTTTGCAGGACGGACTTTGATGGGGCAGCTGCTTCCTTGCCCCAGCCCAGCTTTGTCGGGATGCAGAGAAGCCTCCAGTCTTTGGGGCAGCTATCCAGACCGACCTAAGCTCTGAGCCCTGCCTAGTTTGCCCCGCGCCCAAGGAAAAGCCAGCGATGGGAAGAGGGAGAGGGATCCTGAGTAGCAGTACCTTTGGCTGCAGCCTCTCGCCCTCTGCCAGGAATTCTGCACTCCCCTTGGACACGGCAGCCAGCCCACGCACCAGCCTCCTGCAGGCGTTCTGCCCAATGCCAAAGCTGTAGCACCTGGGGAAAGATGGAAATTCAGGATACAGGTCAGGGGCGAGGAGCGGGGGCCATTAGAGCAGGAGGCCGGATGTAGGATCAGTCCCCTACCCCCCCACTAATGCTGGGCAATGTAATAGCATTGAACAGTCCTGGCTCCCCTTGATTTCAATGGGAGCTGCAGGCAGTCACCCCTCTGAAATCAGCCTCCAGTGAGGTACCTAAGCATGCAGCAAGTCAGCCGGATGTTTAGCTTCGACTGCTCAGCCCTGGTCAAAAGGGGACGAAATGATAGAGGGGGATGCCTCCCTGGTGGCACCCGAAGGGACGCAGGCTTGCTGGGCTCTGGCCATGGGGCACCCCCCCTCCCTCTACCTCCACTTGCCAGCTTTTGCAGCAGCTCGCTCCCTCTCTGAATACAAACAGCCTGCTTTGGTACAGGGTCAGCTATTTTCCCCAGCTGAGTCCTGCTGATTATCTCTGCTCAGGATTCAAATAAACTTTCTCAAGAAAAGAGCAGCCAAGTGCTTTCCTGACCTTCCCAGCCCTTCTGCTAAAGTGACCTTTTTGTTGTTGCTGCTTCTGGCTGAAGCCCGCGATCAAGAGTTGGCATCAGGCAGGAAAAACCATGGGTGTGAGCAAGCCCCTCTGCAGCAAGGGGCTTGGGCCTAGCTGGCTAGTGAAAGGCAGGCAAGAACTGATCTCACTTCATAGACTAAGGGATCAGCTCTGCTCCCACTGATGACCATGGGAACTGTGCCACTGAGCACAGGTAAATGACCAGCTGTTATAAGAGAGGGAGGGAGGGATGGACAGAAGTCAATGGAAGTTGCAGGTGCTCAACACCTTTCAGGATTCGTCCCCATCTGTTTAAGATACACTCCTGCCTTGGAGCAAGGGTTTCCACCTCCCTTAGGAAAGGACTGTCTAAGGACTGGTGAAGAGGAAACACAAAAAGCCCCTCCAGCACCTCGTTCCTCTATGCTTTTCTCCAGCCCTGCCTGTCTGGAACACCCTGAGCAATTACCTCTCTGGGCCTGAGAGCCTGACACCTAGGGCTGCTGCTGCTAGTCTGAGCAGAACCTTCCTCCCTCAGTGAAGGGTCTGGAGGTCCCGCTGGCCCCACAGAAGGGGAGGGTGGCGGGGCGGGAGTGATGGACACAAGGAGGGAAGGAGAATCTTCGAGGATGAGAGGGAAACTTGTCATTTGTTTTTTCTGTTCTGTTTCTCTGGTTTCTGAAACTGCGTAGCAGCCTGTCCAGTGGGAAAGGTATGCAACCTGGTGCTCCAGCTAATCTGGGATCCTGTCTCTGATGGGGGCCAGGACCAGCTGTTTCAGGGGAAAGCACAAGCCCCTCCAGAACACACCTGACTTTGCCATACGGGACCCTGCAGGGTGGGGAATTCCTTCCCTGCTCCCAGCTGATGCCCCTCATCTCATGGAAAGGCCTTGTGGTTTCATTGTGTGGACAGAACTGCAGATCCTGTTATTTGTGCCCCTTCCAAATGGATTTAGGGCTCGTCTACACTTGGAAATTAATTGGGATTAAGGTAGGGTGTGATTTTAAAACGCAGTTGCTATTCCCCTGATAACTTTACATGGGGACAAGACCTTAGTACATTTACAGGGAAAGTTGCTTGATTGCATTTCCCATCAATGCAAGGAAATCACCAGGAAAGGCAACATTAACATCCAGTGCCTGCTCAGTTCACATCTTACCCCCCACACACCACATCCCTCAAATGCTCACGGCCCAGGAGCAAGTGTGGGAAGTTGGGTGCTGATACTTACGCTTTTTCATGCATACCAGAGGGACTCAATCCCCACAATAGCTGCAAATCTCAACACAGCTCCCCCTTAATAAATGTCTGATCTTTTTCTAAAACCATCCCGGGACATGTGACTCAATGATTTATTGTGGCAATGAGTTCCACAAGTTCTCTTTATGTCACATAAATACGATGCATTTTCTTTAAGCTGCTTTTCACATTTGCTTTTCAGAATATTTGATTTTTATGCTGCCCCGCACTGGACCCAGCTGGGACTCAGAACCAGATGTATTAAAAGACTGCAAGGAAGACTGTTCTCAGGTCAATCCTGCAAGCAGAAGACATCAGTGAAGAGGCTGCTTTAGTGAAACTGCCAGCCCAATTTCCCTGGCTCAGATTGTCTGGATGACCTTCCAGAAAAGGACCTGAACTTCTGGGATCCATTCCAAACCCTGCTACTACAAGCTACCACCCTGCCTTTCATTCTGATTGTGGGATGACTGTGAAATGTAAGATGGAGGCCTGCTCCTGGCATTGCACTCCGAGTCCCCTCCATGCTGGATTTTTTGCCATATGCCAGAGGATCCCAGAGTTATCCACACCTGGTGGAGGAAGAGTGATTCCGCAGCAGCTCAATGACCTTCCCGGTGTTGCTGACAGCTCCGTCGGTCAGCAGGAAGAGCAGGCGCGGGTGGCCCCTGTGGATGGGCTGCCGGATGATCCACTTTAAAGGGGACAAGATGTTGGTGCCGCCCATATCCGCCCGGATCTTCTTGATGCTCTCACACGCAATAGCCAGACTCTCCTGCAAAGGGAGCAGAAGTGCCCACTAGCTAGAGTCATTGTGGTAAATATTGTGATTGATGCTGAGCGCTGACATAACACTTTTTGTCTGGGGATCCCGAAGCACATTACGACATTGCTACGCCCCCATTTTAGCGGATGGGGGAAACAGGGGCCTGGTGAGGAGAAGTGACTTGCTGTGGGTCAGACAGCAAGTCAGTGGGAGAGCTGGGAATGCAACCCACATCTTTTCAACTTTTGGTCCCCTGCTCTAACCACCAAGCCACGCTGCCTCTGTAAAAGGCATGCACCCAATGTGTCTGCAGCTATTTTCTGTAGGTGAAATTCGCGGAGGGCAGCGCAAGGCATATGCAACACAGAAATCCCACTTAAGCTTGATGCTTTATGGCTTAAACGGGGCTAGTGCCCGGGCTGGGTGCCGCTGCTGTCCCTCTGCAAGGGAGTAATTTCACCCTGTGTGCAAGGGCAGCTGCGATTGTGTAGACCTGTGTGTTTGTCCTTAGACAGTGAGCTCCCTAGAGCAGGGTCTCTGCTTCTTCCGTGCTTGGCAGGTGCTTCCATAAATAAACAATAACACGTAGCAGGTGCTTCTGTAAATAAACAATAATAGCGATGAAGACAATTGCAGGGTGCATATGTGACAGCAGTACATGTGAGCACATGGGCCCAGCAGCAAAGGTCCTGCACTGTATGTATGAATGGGAGAAAAGTGGAAGTCAGTGCATGGGATCTTTTGTGATAGCAGGGTGCATGTCTAGGGCTGCACAAGGTATACGCAGAACTGTGTGTGCATTTTTGTGTGGCTGGCTATCCAGTGCCTGTTAATCCACACCCTAAGGAACTCTTCGTGCTGCTCAGCCCAAAGCTATGGATTTGTTTTAGGTGAGGGTGATCTGTGCCATCGACCCACACATCAGGAGGTAATAGCCTCATGCCTGTAACATTCTAGGCGTGAATGACTGCACATACAGTAGCCTTTTTATGGAAAGGCTAGATCCCATTTGTCAATGTCTGATGCTATGTGGGGTGCAAACCCCGACCCTGCAGTATGCTGGGCTACGAGAGGACATGTGGGTCTTTTCTAGTGACATGGCGATGGCTCAGAGGCATAAAGGCCTGGCCCCTGCTGGAGAAGGGGGCTGGGTTGATGAAATCTGCAGGGTTAGCTCTTTTCTGTTTCAGGAGGTTTCAGCAAGGTTCCCTTGCTCATTAGGGAAGAGCTCAGCATGGCCAGTGCAGAGAGAGTCCAGGAAAGGTAGGTTCCTAAAAGCCATGTGATGGAAAGTCAGAACCTCCGAACCTAGGTCGCTATCTTGGCCACAACGAAAGGGGTTCTGGTGTCTCAGAAAAAGTCCCTGGAATTCATGTACCCAGTGTGGAAGATCTGGGATATTAGCACCCCTCTGTTAATACCTGTCAATGGGAGCATACCAGCCCAAGTGAAGGAACCTGGACTCCAGAACAAGAGGATTGTGGCTAATGGTGTGTGCAGCTGCTTCACACAGAGAGGCAGAGCCGTGAGTGAGCTACACACCAGCTCCCTGGACCAGATGACCCCAGGGCAGGGCACGGTTGGCATCAGCTGCAGCACGTTCCCTGCTACCATCCTGAAAAGGTAGCACGTGCCAGCCCCCCCCCCCAGCAGCGTCCGAGCTGCAAGGCCTTTGCCCTCTTCTGTGAAGGCCAAGGAGTTCAGAAATGTCTTCACCCACCTCACAGTAAGTGTGACTGGAAGGAAAGAGGGTCTTAAAGGTCGACCCAAATCCAATGATGTTGAAGAGGCATGCCGGTGCCAGGCTCTTGAGTATGACCAGCAGGGCATCCTGTGAGGGTGAAGGAAATAAAAGTGAACACATCAGGAAGCCTGATATCTGATTGGCAGCCTTGGCTTTACCAGCAACATTACCCTCCTGGCTTTCCTTCTCCACGTTAACTTCACCACTACCCTGCATTTGGCGGCATGCAGTTCAATAACACAACAGAATAACACTGCTTGTTTCACAGAATCATAGAAATGCAGGGCAGGAAGGGACCCCAAAAGGTCATCAAGTCCAGCCTGCGGCACTGAGGCAGGGCCAAGTAAATCTAGACTCTCCCTGACAGCTATTTGTCCAGCCTGTTCAAAAAAAACTCCAGTGATGGGAATTCCACACCTGCCCTTGGAAGCCTGTTCCAGAGCTTAGCTACCCTTAGAGTTAGAAAGTTTTTCCTAATCGCTAACCTAAATTTCCCTTGCTACAGATTAAGTGCATAACTTCTTGTCCTACCTTCAGTGGACATGGAGAACAATTGATCATCGTCCTCTTTGTAACAGCCCTTCACATATTGGAAGACTGCTAACAGGGCCCACCTCAGTCTTCTTTTCTCAAGCTTGGTTTTTTTTAACCTTTCCTCATCGGTCAGGTTCTTTAACTCGCTTATCATTTTTGTTGTTCTCCTCTGGATTCTCCTAATTTGTCCACATTGTTCCTAAAGTGTGGCACCCAGAATTGGACACAGAACTCCAGCTGAGGCCTCACCAGTGCTGAGTAGAGTGGGACAATTAGCTCATGAACTTAAATACAACATTCCTGCTAATACACCCCAGAATGATATCAGCCTCGTTCACAACTGCATCACATTGTTGATTCAGCTTCAATTTGTGATCCACTATCACCCCCAGATCCTTTTCAGTCATACTACCACCCAGCTAGTTACTCCCCATTATGTAGTCACGTATTTGCGTTTTCCTTCCCAAGTGAAGTACTTTGCACTTATCTTTGTTAAATTTCATTTTGTTGATTTCAGGTCATTTTTCTAATTTGTCAAGGTTATTTTAAATTCTAATCTAATTCTATTCTTCAAAGTGCTAGCCTGCCCTCCCAACTTGGTGTCATCCTCAAATTTTGTACGCATACTCTCCATTCCATTATCCAAGTAATTAAGGAAAACATTGACTAGTACCAGACCCAGGACTGACCCCTGCAGGACCTCACTACATACGCCCTCCCAGTTGGACAGCGAACCATTCATAATGACTCTTTGAGTATGGTCTTTCAGCCAGATGCACACCCACCTTATAGTAATTTCATCTAGACCACAATTTCCAAGTTTGCTTTTAAGTGATTCACACATTAAGAAAACACTGCATGCATCTGATGGCTATTCTCCTCCAAAAAAGCTCCTCAGGACAGAGATGGGTAGTATGCACCCCAAAATGTAAGATTTTGGGGCATGGGTTTTAATAAGAGGCTTTACAGAACTTTAATAGAATTGTTTTCGTGAACTTTAAAAAATCAATGTGAGCTGTAGCTCACGAAAGCTTATGCTCAAATAAATTGGTTAGTCTCTAAGGTGCCACAAGTCCTCCTTTTCTTTTTGCGAATACAGACTATCATGGCAGCTACTCTGAAACCAATTTTTGGACAGAAATCTTCTTTTGTGAATGTAGCCATGTGTATTGTGAGAGATACTGTCTGCTGTGTTTTTTTCTTGAGCAAAGTGCACAAAACAAACAAAACAGCATAAATGCTGAAAAAAATCAGTTTTTTTTTAAAAAATTTAAACTGCTTTCTCTCCGAATGAATGATTTTTCACCTGAAAAATTCTCTGTAACTTTCCCTTCTGAACTGGTTCTTTTTATTAGAGAAAAGAAATGTAATCGATCTCACATCATGCATGGTGGGAATGGAATGCTCCAGGATGAAGGGTGCTGCCTGTTTTGACAACAAACAGGAGACAGTGGATATGGAGTTCACTTGTGAAAAAGAGGATGGTTAAAGGCCAAGTGCAGGTCAGTGATTTGTGTTGTTCCAGAGTGGTTTAGTGTTGTGTGTTTACATGAGGATGAGATCATACAGTTGTCAGTTTGCCTTGGGCAGCAGAAACCCAAGAGCCAGCCCTGAGAGAATAGCTGCTAAGGTCAAAGGAAGTGGGAGAGCCTCCTCACTTTCTCATTGACAGAGGCGTGGATTAGATGACCCAAAAGCCAAGAAGTTAAAAATATACCATTTCCAATCGAAGGGGAATTTTAGATTATCAGACTGTAACTTCCCAATTGGAACTTCGCCATAGCACCAGAGTTAAACACTTCAGCTCTTAGGGCTTGTTCCAAAGCCCAGTGAAGTTCATGGAAAAATGCCATGAGGCTTTGGATCAGATCCTTAAAGTCTTATAGTAACTTTATTGCCACAAGTTGATAGCACCTCTCTAGCTTCATGGCCACCCCAAATTCATTCCTACAAACAGTGCATCACATCTGCAAGGCATCCAGGTCTGGAGCTCCCAGTGACTTCAGTGGGGGGGGGGTTATGCCTGAGCCCTGTACTGTTACACACACACACATACACACACACACACCCCTGGCTCATGATTGGCTGAAAACAGTCATGTGACAAGTCCGTAAGTTTTATTGGAGACTCTCGGAAAGGTAAACAATACAGAGATCTGGAGCAATGTTAACCGATGTACATGTATGCGTTTTGACCGGCTGCAGATGAGTTAGGGAAAACTGAATTAGTGAGAGAACATATTCAAATTGCTGCTTCCTGAAAGGTTCAGCAGAGGTGATTTTTTTCCCCCCCAGGATCTTGAAGTTGGTATTTTAAGAAGTAGTTTTCAAAAACAGATTTCCAGATATTTCTAATGAAGCAATTCAAATGTATGTTACAAATACGGACTTCACGTTTCAGTGAGCAGGAAGATTTATCGCTCCTTAAGTTAACTATTGATCTCAGTTCTGCTGCACTCGATATTTATCTCACAGATCCATAAACCTAGATGTTCACCTCAAGAGAAGTCAATATCTGCTTCTTATTCCATGTTTGCCAATACATATGCTTGACACAGTCACACTTACCACCCTGTATACAGTGTTTTTGAAATGGTGAGCTGCATTAGAGCAGGATTGCCAGAATGAAATCAGCCGCAGGAAATTAAAAGCATTGAACTTTCCCCCTTAACATTTTAGTCTGGAATTCCCTTCCCCCTCCCCCCACCCCCTCCCACCCCCCGATTACACACACACAGAAAACAAGCACCAAATTACTCCCTATCTATTCATTTTTGATTCATTTTAATCTACAGATAGCACTGTTGTCACATAGCACAGTTTTCATACCACGCAGCTCCATTTCCTCCTTCTAACACATCCAAGTTCATCCCATGCAATTTATAGTCCAAGCTGATGACTATGCAAATGTTATTCAATCAAGTTCAATCCATCCAAAATACATTAAAAGCAGCAACTGCATTCAGACATTTACGAACGACAGAAGCCAGGAGAAAACAGGAGAGTGGGTTTTTTTTTTTCTTCTGAAGATACATTGCCTTGAAAGGTGGCCTCTCCTTTTCCTTAGAAGTAGAAGGGAAAGGGTGGGCTGGCAAGCATCCTTCTTCCATTCAGGATGGCCACACGACTGGAAATCTTCAAGCGTATTTCTTACCATGCTAGTTAAACTGCCAGGCAGAACCCAAAGCCTTCCTGAGCAGTCCCATTTCAGTACCAGAGACAGTTCCCTCAAAGTGGCTATTGTAGGCTAGGATTTTCAAAGGAGTTAGGTACATAAAGCCAGGGTGCCTAATTCCCTTCAGTCCCTTTAAAAATCCCAGCCATAAAGAATAATGAGTTAAATTCAGCTCTGATGTAACTGGTAGGACAGGTTTCAGAGTAACAGCCGTGTTAGTCTGTATTCGCCAAAAGAAAAGGAGGACTTGTGGCACCTTAGAGACTAACCAATTTATTTGACCATAAGTTTTCGTGAGCTACAGCTCACTTCATTGGACGCATACTGTGGAAAATACAGAAGATGTTTTTATACACACAAACCATGAAAAAAGGGGTGATTATCACTACAAAAGGTTTTCTCTCCCCCCACCCCACTCTCCTGCTGGTAATAGCTTATGTAAAGTGGGACAGGTGGGACTGGTAGCTCAGCTTTCAGAGTAGCAGCCGTGTTAGTCTGTATTCGCAAAAAGAAAAGGAGGACTTGTGGCACCTTAGAGACTGACCAATTTATCTGAGCATCCGATGAAGTGAGCTGTAGCTCACAAAAGCTTATGCTCAAATAAATTGGTTAGTGTCTAAGGTGCCACAAGTCCTCCTTTGGTAGGATAGGGTTACACATACAGGATGCACTGTATGTCAGAAAATAGGTGAAAGTGACAAAATAGTGTAAGTTCCACAGACCTGGCACTCACTGGGTTTGTAACAGGAGTGTAATTTACACAGCTTCCTGCATCAGCCTGAAATTATTTTTGATGTCTCCCATGCAAATAATGACCAGGCTTGACCTGCTTAGCTTGTAAGAATTAATGAACCCATAGCTCAAGGTTATACGTTAAATAACATTACACAGCACCAATCCCTGATAGAGCACATCTCATCCATAGATCTTGCCATGCTACACACAGATGGGCACAGATTATTTTAGTTACTAAATAACAATAATCTTTCACATTTATCTAGGGCAGTGGTTCTCAAGGGTAAGGACTAGGACTAAGTCTCAGGCGATAATGGGTGTGTCCTTAGGTGAGTCACTGAATCTCTCTGTGTTTTAGTTCCCCAACTGTAAAATGGGGATAATAGCCCTTCTTTTCTCCCACCCTTTGTCTGTCCTGTCTATTTAGATTGTAAGCTCTTTGTGTACCAGCAGCTGGCACAATGGGGCCCTGAATTCAACTGGAGATTCTAGGTGCTACTCTCAAAAATATAAAATAAATTATAACAACTAACTTTGCCTAAAACACCCCTGTGAATAAGATATTATCCCCCTTTGCAAGTGGGTAAACTGAGGCCTGGGGAGATAAGTGACTTGCCCTAGTCCACGTAGTGAATCAGTAGCGAAACTGGGAATAGAATCTAGATTTTCTGACCCTAGATACTGCTCCTCTGAGTGGGAAGGAATGCACACAAAGCAGAACAGAAGCTCCTAATGACTATCAGGTTGTAAAATGGGGGGGGGGGAGCAGTGTTTCCTTGCACATCAGTGAAGTAATCTTTCATCTCCAGTGGCTCTGACATCTCAGTGTAGCCCTTTGGTGATACCATCGCAGGGAACAGTAAGCTCTGCAGTCAGCTCTGTTCCCTAAGTGGCCCGCGGGTCTCACACTTGCAAGGGTGAGAGAAGGGCTTTTGCCTGGCAGGACGGGACTGCATGCTTTTCAAAGAATGACAAAGGGAATTTTGAATGCGGTGATACTTAAATCTATTTCTTTAAAATTCACGTGTGCACACACAAACATGCACCCAGGCAAGCACACAAACACACGTGTGCATACATAAGATTTAGGGTACTAGGCTTTAGTGGCCCCCAGGCAGGCTCTGGCTCTCTGCAGGTGGCCTGTACAAACTAGCCCTTCCAGAACTCTGCCAACAGCCAGCACATAGCAGGCAGCGCTCTCATTCTCTGCGGGTGGGGGCCTTCCAAATCCTGTTCCCATGGAAACAAGAGTCAGCTTGGCAATGATAAGACTTTGAACAGGGCTCCTGCTGGGCGACCTCCGGTGCAAGTCCCAGAGGCAGACTATGCCCAGAAGGGGATGCACCAGTGCCCAGGACTGGGCTCCTGCAGCGGTAGGGGTTCTCCATCCACCTAGCTCAGCCCCAGACATGGGTGGCACTGTGGGAAGAGAGGGTGTGGCCGCACACCTGGTGCTGAGCTAATTCAGTGGCTCTCCCAGGTATTCTCTGCCTACAGGGCATTCACCGGCAACTTAGAGCTGCCCTTTCCTAGCAGAAATTCCAGGGGAAGGGTGGCTTTGCAAACCCCACCTGCCCTCTCCAGGGCTAGGGATTGCAACAGCCCCTACTGGCTCAGGAAAATGTAAAATGCAGGGGTGAACTGACCCCAGAGAGTCCAGAAGGAAATCTTTCCAGGGCTGCTCCTCCCCAAACTGCAGCTGCTCACTGAGACATGCCAGGGCCAGCTGGCAAACACAGACCTGGCCTCTGAAGTGCAATAGGCATAGACAAGAATCATTAAATAGTGACTAGAGAGATTTCCCCGTCGATGGCTGTAGGAGTTTCAAGGAGGGAAATTTGGCTAAGTCCAGGCCTGTACAGTTATACCAGACAGTGGTGCACAGCCAGACTCTGTCCTGATTTACGCCCTTTTCAGGGTATGTCTGCATTGCAGCCAGGGTGGGTGAATGGCAGTTTGCGTGGACATATCTGTACCATGCTAGCTTGCTAAAGATAGAAACCTCAGGCTTCAGCGTGGGCTGTACCAACCATCCGACCCCCCAACCTTCACCCCCAGGTCTGTACTTGCTTGTACAGCTGGTGCTGAAGCCTGCCGTGTGGCATTCTCACTTCTATTGTTATCAACTAACTAGAGTGCATCTAGCATGGGTTCGTCTAGCCAAACTGCCATTCCCACAGGGTAGATGTCCCTGAAGTCACTGGGGGAAGCTGACACTGAATCCATCCCAAGGGAAGAATATTTGCCAGCCATACCCAAGCCCCCGGCTTACTGCCCATCTTCTATTATTTCACTCCTGAGGGGGTCATCTCTAAGCCCCCCATTCGGCAAAGCACTTAATGGGACCTCCAAGAACTAAATAGTCACCTTGGCTCTCATAGGGCCCAATCCTGTGAGCTGTATTCATATAAATAGCCCCACTGAACTCACTGAGTCTCCTCATGTGAGTAAGGTTTGCAGGACTGAGCCTATAGGGACTGATCCAAAATGCACTGAAAACAATGGAAAGGCTCCCACAGACTTCTGGGGCCTTGGCCAAAGCCAGTTACCATAATGTCGTCAAAACAATATGACGTGTTTATATAGGGTTATAGCTCATATGTAGGGCCCTACCAAATTCACGGCCATGAAAAACACCTCACAGCCCATGAAATCTGGTCTCCCCCCGTGAAATCTGGTCTTTTGTGTGCTTTTATCCTATACTATATAGATTTCAAGGGAGAGACCAGCATTTCTCAAATTGGGGGTCCTGGCTCAAAAGGGAGTTGCGGGGGGGGGGGTCACAAGGTTATTTTACGGGGGTGCAGTATTGCCACCCTTACTTCTCCACTGCCTTCAGAGCGGAGAGCGCCCCGCCAGCAGTACTGCAGAAATCAGGGTGGCAACACCAGACCGGGCCATCCTTACTTCTGTGCTGCAGCTGGCAACGGCTCGGCCTTCAGAGCTGGGCTCCCGGCCAGCAGCCGCTGCTCTCCAGTGGCCCAGCTCTGAAGGCAGGGAGCCACCAGCAGCAGCGCAGAAGTAAGGGTAGCCGTACCGTAACCTCCCACTACAATAACCTTGCGACCCCCCCCCCAACTCCTTTTTGGGTCAGGACTCCTACAATTACAACACCGTGACATTTCAGATTTAAATAGCTGAAATCATGAAATTTATGATTTTTAAAATCCGGTGACAGTGAAATTGACCAAAATGGACTGTGAATTTGGTAGGCCCCTACTCCTATGTACCTACGGATTATAGTGCATGCGGCACATCCCCTGGCATATGCACTTGTACCTATCTACCTCGACAGCTCAATGTCACCCACTGCTCATATAGTCATTGCGCAATGCAGCAGCTCTTTAACACTGCACAGCAAAACCACAGGACAGTTGAGCACAGGCCACAAAGAACTCCTTTACCAGTCAAAGCTGCAAAGGGAATTTGAACAGGTACATTATTGACTTTTATTTATAATGGCACCTTCTATCCAAAGAGCTCAACGTCCTTCACACATTCCACAGAGGTAGGTAAATGTTATTATTTTGCTTTTACAGCGAGGAAAACAGAGGCACTGACTGGTGAAATGACTTGCCCAGGGTCACAGAGCAGGTCAGTGGCAGAACGCCACCTACAGAGTGACTGGCACCAACCACTTCCTGCGGCGTTTTGAGTTTCTTTGGGGGTCTTCCATCAAAGTACTGACCTGTCCCAACGCTCTGTTTAATTTGACCAGACAAAGGCTGTGAAATTTGACCAGACAAAGGTAGAATGGCTGAAGAACACATTACATGCAAACCAGTGAGATGCTGAAAACCAAACTGCTTTGGATTTGTTCCATCCACAGAAAGAACACCCCATGACCCCCAGAGAGCCGAGAAAGATGGGCAGAGATGCTTCATCAGCACTTAAAGAAACACTTTTGCTAGCTAATATTTAACCAGACTTTAATGTTCAGCCAATTCTCCGCAACTGCAGATCCCTAGGAGTCATGTTTTACCCCCTGTGGTACCTTGACGTGGTTGATGTTTGTGCCGCTCATGCTTCCACTGCGGTCTATCAGAAATATAAACTCTCCCTGGGTTTCCCTGAGGTCTGGCTGGCTGGTTCTCAGGTCAGGGCAGAAGTTCAGCATGATCACGGGGTGGTGAGGGATGTCCTTGTTCAGGCGTTTCCTGATGATTTCCGTCTGCAACGAGCAAGAAATGAACTTGAGAGGAAGAGCCCAGTGTGGCGGTTTATCTGTAAAACCCCTCCATGTATTGTCCCTTTCCCCCCACCCCACCTTTTAACTCTAGGCATGAATCAGAGCAGTGTAAAAAACATAGTGGCAAAAACACCTGAGCCCTGTCTATGCTACAGCTTCCCCATTCCTACCCCCTGTGGAGCAGCTCCAGTGCTCAATTACATGTCTGATTTCAGGGAAGATACATTCTGGAGGGCAAATGCTGCATGAGACCCCTAATCCGAGAATACCTACGTATTGACTGCCTGCATGAATGCACAGTGGGAACACAACCAATCTACATCTTGGGATAACCACCTTATGGCAGAGGATCTCCAAATGCTTTATTAAGTAAGCCTCTCTGTATGAAGTCGGTACATATTATTAGCATGTGCATTTTACATATGGGGAAACTGAGGCCCTGTGCCATTAAGTGACTTGCTCAAGGTCATACAGAAATTAAATGGCAGAGCTAGGAACAGAACACATGACAGCCTCAGGCATTGTTCCACATCTAAATGGGGCACAATGTCCGGCTCTGTTATTTTCTGCTCTTTCTGTTTTTTTCTACCTGTTCTTTTTATCATATTTTATCACATACATTAAAATACCTGGCCTACCACTCCAGGTATAATTGCAGTAGAAAACTGCATGATACATAGTTTCTTCACTACACATCAGACCTCAGACCTATTGGCTTTTTGCATTTTTTCATTTTACTCTACGTATCAATCTTCATTTTAAAAAATCAATAACATTGAACTTTAAAAAAAAAAAGAGGGCCCATGATGCTTTTAGACTCCTCTTTGTTATGTGTATTAGGGTTATTTATTTATATTACCATAACGCCCAGGAGCCCCACTCATGGACCTATACCCCACTGTGTTAGGTGCTGTACAACAACAGAACAAAAAGCCGACAGAGCCTAAGCTGACGTGAATCAACTGAGCTCCATTGACGTATGGAGCAACGCCAATTTATACCAGCTGTGCATCTGGCCCCTTGTCCCAGCTCGGCAGTACTGAAACACACACTTAAGTCAACAATTTGTCTGAAAAAAAGAAAAAAAAAGCCCAAGGCTGCCGATTCTCTCTGATTCTGCCTGAATGATTGCTCTTATTTTATACAGCCAGTGAGGCTTCCATTCCCTGAGCCCTCTATAATGTCATTACAAACCCTTCTTTTTCTGTATTGGTCTGCACATACCGCTGATCTCTCCCCAGCTCAGCCCCACTTCGGGTTGATCTGCACACAGGGGCTTTATTTGTCAGCAACACAGACAGAATTTCTCTCCCCCTGCCCCCTGTGGAAATGTATATCACATTTATAGGTATACGTACAGAACCCTGTAGTTACATTAGCCTGGCTACAAATGACAAGGACTATTGACTCGCATGCTTCAGCATCTAAATTGCTCACCAGCTGCAGGGGTTGGGAAGTCATTTTGCTCCCCCCTCCCCATATAATGTCACATTGTTTCACCCCTTCCTCAGAAGCATGCAGCATTGGCCTCTGTCAGAAAGCAGACTAAAGAGCCCTTGGTGTCTTCCAGCATTGTAATTACTATTCAGCTGTATACAGATTGTAATAACACCTTTGGATTCACAAGGGAAGCCTGGTGTCAGCCAAGAGATGGAGACAGCTTGCTGCCTGGATGAGTCCCCTGTGGATGGGATGACCTGCCCTAGGAAAATTGAATAGAAGGGCGGGCTGCATGAAGACAAGCCCTGAGCAGAAGGGTGAGTCCTGATGAAGATGTTTTTGAGTTCATTGTATGCATAGAATCATAGGCTTACATGGGACCGCAAGGGTAATCTTGCCTAACCCCTGCCAAGATGCAGGATTTGTTGTGGCTGAACCATCCATGACAGATTCCCTTCTCTTTGGACTTTAATACCCTGAAAGGGGTGGGACTGAGGGGGCCAGAGAGCTAAAGCACCACTGCACTGGACCCACAACCAACCGTCCCAGACTCCAGGACAGGGTGAGTAGTGCCCCGTTGGGACACTGTAAAAGCAGACCCTGTCCCACTTCTCTTCCCAGCACCCCGTGCCACAGGCAAGCATCACTCCTATTCTGCAGATGGGGAAATCAGGCATGGGGTAGGGTAAGTGACTTGCCCATGGTCACATAAAAGCCTAGGGTTGAACGGGGGACTGAACCAGGGTCCCCTGAGTCTAAATCCAGTGCCTGGTGCACTAGGCTGTTCTGCAGGTGAGGATACTGGGAGGCACTCAGAACCTCACAAAGTTGAAGGAGCCTCAGCTGAGCAGGGCCCAATCCTGGCAGCCCAATAAGCATGGGACTCCCAATGACTTCAGAGAGAGCTTTGCAAGGGAAGCCTTGGTAAACAGGACACTGAGAGTAGATCTACATTTCAATGCAAGGCCAGGGTTAATGACACTTGAGAGAGCAGACGCTGGGTTTGAGACCCCAGGGCTTGAGCACATATACTGATTGCCAACCCCAGGTAAAGAATATTTTAATCTGGGTCCAAACTCGGGGTTCTGGGGTCTACACTGCAGTAGGCAGACCCGAGTCCAACCAATTGTATCCCAGACTTCCTAGCACCCTCCCAAAATGTGACCACTCTCACTCTTTGTGGGTGGCACAGTGTGGGAAAGCTTGACTGCCCACAGGGCATGTTACAGGAAGTTTGAACAGTCCGCCAACACAGCCTGCCGAGCCATCGTTTTGGTCTGTGCACTTCCAGCAGCCAGAGCCAGCAACATGGAGAAGGTGCCATTTCAAGCACTTCTCTTGCTTGGGCTTTCACTCCCATTTCAGGATGCAGGCAGAGCTTCCACGAGACACTGGTGGGCATTTCGGCAGCTTTTTCTGACCCACGGAAGGCACCGGACAGATCTAATGATGGAGCAGGAGCGGAAGGATGCGGACATGGCAGACTTGAACTGGCTGATGTTGGTCACTTGGTACAGCCATTCATGCCCACTATGTGGACCGACGCTTCTGGGGCAGGGCCGTAAGCACAGGCTGATGGGATCGCATCATCCTGCAGACTGCAGTGACCAGCCATGGGTCCAGAACTGTTGCATGAAGAAAGCTATATTTCTGCAGCTCTGTGAACAGATCCAACCCTCCAGCATAAAGGGTGGCCTGGCTGGTCCAGAAGTGGGTTGCTATCACCATCTGGAAGCTGGCTATCCCGTGCTGCTACAGGTCCATTGCCAACCAGTTTGAGACTGAAAAGTCGATGGTGGGTAAAATGGTGGCAGAGATTTCTGAGGCAGTTAGGGGTGTGGTTGACCCCAAGATGGCAGGCATAAAAGATACTCCTGAAGTAATTACCGGCTTGTTTCCAGACTGCGCCGGGGCCATTGATGGGATCCGAGTGCCCATACTTTGCCCTTCTCAAGGAGCACAAGTACAGAAACTGCAAAGGGTGCTTCTCCACTGTTATGCAAACCCTCGTGGACAACAGAGGGCGATTTATGAACGTAAGGGTTGCCGGCACTGGAAAAGTTCATGATGCCAGGGTTTTGGGGTTTCTTTGGCAATTGGGAGTCTACATTCATGGACACACTGAGTCACGATTCCCGCCACGTGACATTGTCATAAATGGCGTCACTGTCCCCACTGCTATGCTGGAGGACCCCGTGTGCCCCTTTTTGTGTTGGCTTTTGAAACCAGCCCCTGATCTCGGAGGCAAAAGAAGGTTTAAGTCCACTCCCGGCAGATGGAGAATGGTGGTTGAATGAGTTTGGCAGGCTGAAATCCCGTTGGAGATGTCTACAGAACCATTTGGATTCCGGTGACACTGATGCTGTCCGCCTCACTGTGGCTTGTTTTGCTCGTCACAGTCTTTGTGAAGCCAGAGGTGAGCCATTTCCCCCTGAATGGGCCTATGGCAGCGAGGGGCTGCTGACCCGTTACACTCAGCCAGAAAGTGCTCCTGCCAGAGCCGCAGCTGGATGCACCCGGGCAACAGACGTCAGGGATGCTTTGTGCTCCCACCTTATGGACTTGCATGGGCCAATGGAAGAGAGAGAACAGTACCTTTATGAATGTGCTTGTGGCGGGGAGTGGGGGGGTGCTGATTGCTTGTGCAGGCTGTGGGGTGAGACAGGGTGTAACAGGCCTTCCTGGCTCCCTGCTGGAGGCCCAATGCTCCTACTACACCCCAGCCCAGGAAGGAGCAGTGGAGGTGGGCCCTCCAGGCCTGCCTAGAAAGGCTGCACGGAAGCAGCCAATCAGAGCCCAGCAGGCTCAGCTAAAAGGAGCTGCAGGACCTTCGGGGCGTCAGTTCTTGGCTGGGACCAGAGGGAGGAAGGAAAGAAGGGGGCTCCCCTCTGGCCACAGGCACTCAGCTGGTTGTTATTGGACCTGGGAGAGCGAGGGCCTAGGAACTCTAACCCAAAGGTAGCAAGTGAAGGTCAAGGGAGCGGGCGGGAAGAGGCCCAGGGAATGCAGCAGCAGCTAACTGAAGGGAGCCATACGTTGCTGCTGTTTATAGGGTCCCAGGGGTGGAACCCGGAGTAGCGGGCGGGACAAGGCTTTAGAAGCCAGAATGAAGGGCTGGATTTAAAGGACCCAGAGATGGGGCTGAAGACCCTGCTGAGGGCAGGCAGCCAGTTTGTTGACTCATCGATACCTGGGAAGGGGTTCATTTTTGAGCGTGTGACTTGGCCAGAGGACTGAGTCACTGAAGACCCACCTAGCGAGGTCAGCCACCACAAGGGGTGCCAGGAGTGGGGGAAAGGATCACAGTACTTCTCCCAGCCACTAGGAGGCACTCAGGAGGTGAGTGTCACCTGTCACGGGGGTTGATGGTCATACATTTTATTCTTGAATGACGTGACCACTCATGAAAGGGGATGTGGAGACAGTATGGATTGATGTAAATAACCGATGTAAGGATAGATGTACATAGCTGGATTGAGACATGGGTTTTGCATGCCACTTCCCTGCTGTCCCTGATCATGTGTTTGCCTTTATTATTTGAAATACACATTACATGCTGTGTTGCAGTGATGGCAATAAGATTTCTTTATGAAATCAAAACTTTTATTTTGACACATTTATTGGACAAGTACAATATGAAACCGTTGCAGGGCAGGCCAGTTGCCCTTAACACCCCAAAACACCAGCAACACCCAAACCTTTAAAAGTTACCACGAATAAAGCACATAAACACACGCAAACAATGAAACTAGGTACAAGACAACCCCACCTACTACTGCATCTCCCGTGAGCCCCCTATTCTCCTTTCCCTGTTTGCCATGGGGGCACGGGGAAGTGTCCACTGGAGAGGGGTTCAGCAGTGAGGACTGCATGGGGCACATTTGCCCTATTCAGCCACTCATAGGGCCCTACTGCATGGGCCACCCAGCCATGGAGTTGTCCAAGCTGCTCCTGGAGTGCAGGGCACCACAGAGGGGATGCAGCCCATGGTCCAGGCACAGCAGCAGCTGGCAACCTTGAAGCCATTAGAGACAGCAGCTGCTCAAACAATTCTGCCTGTCCAGAACGCCGACCATAAATTAATCCCGGAAAAGCTTCCTCTTGGAACAATCCGCGAAGGTCCAGTGAGCCAGGCTTCTGCATGTGGGCGAGCTGTGGAGATATTGCAAGCTGGAGATGCCGAGGAGCCTAGAAGAAGACAAGACACACACGGTTATTGTCCTGAATAGCTCAGTGCAGGAGCAGAAGGGAAAAAATCACTTTGGAATTTCCAGAACAGAAAATGTTACTTTTTGAGACTGAACTTCATTACCTTGGCAGAGGGCTGCTCAGACCACAAAAGCTTCCAGCACCCAGCCGGATTCATTGCCGTGAAAGCAGTGCTGAGAGAATGGGAAATTCGAAACCACAATTTAAAAAAAAAAATGGAATTTAGGGGGAGGTTGGTGACAGCGCTTCTCTATCATTTCAGACATTACACATTTTGGAGGACGGAACATTTGTGGTGCCCGGAATTGTTCTTCAAAGCTGATGGTGGACCACTGAGCACGGATTCCACTGAAACAGTCACACGCAGGGTGACTGAACTGCACGGCTACGAGTGGAGTGGGCCAGTGAGCTACCAAGGCGACCTTGAAAAATACACCCCTGAAATGGGACTGCTTCTCTGGAGTTCCTGCTTTGGGAAAAGTTTGCGGCTATCAGCATCCAGGACTGGGTCAGAATTCACGGGGGAATCAACAGGATGCTGCATTTGTATCCGCATGGCTTAGTGCCTCCCCACAACCTCCAGTGCAGCTTGTTAGGACTGCGTGAAACCACACAGACAACCCTTCTGCCATCCCCCTTCCGCTTGGCTGAATTCCACCCCCCAGGCAGATTTGGGACGAATGGTTTTGTCACCCAGGGACTACATGGACTACATTTTACAGAACTGGACTACATTTGAACCTCTGCCCATCCCCCTCGCCACCTGTACAGTTCCGTCTCTTCAAGTGGCTCGTCACCTCGTGGGTTGGGCCGAGCGGCCTACATACAGGGAAGGTAATACAAGGTTCTTATTTTAACAAACCAGAATGAACTAGCAAAAATGTGCACCTTCCCAGGAAAACGTCACTTCTATGTGCTTATTTTACTGTTTGCATTTCCCAGTCTCCAGTTTGAATTCCCCGTAGCGGTGGGGGCGGGAGGGGAAGGATGCCAGGGCGCTGGCATGCAATCCAACATTAGTGGATGCACGTTGCTACCCCGGGCGTATAAGGTCTTTTGCATTGGTTCACAGAAGGGAAATCCCTCCCAATCCTATATTAATAACACAAAAACGGAGCCAGAAACTTACCGGGCTCTGGGGCAGTTTCTCGCTCTCTCCCGTTTGGGCTGCCGGTTCTGCGGCGGGCTGTTCCTCTCGGGGCGGGGGGGGGGGGGGTAGGACAAAGCTCCACTGAGACTGGCCCCGGGATGTGCTGCAGCTGCTCCTGCAGCAAAGCCTCCTCTGGGATCAGTTTCATGAGCAGAGTCACTTCATTTGCCTCATTCGGCGCCTGCTGCTGGTGCCCATCAATTTCCGTGCTGGCTTCTGGGGCTCGCAGGGCGCCACCCCAACTGACCAGGTGATCATGCCCCGCCAGTGGCTTTGGTGCTCGACGCAGTCCCCAGCATTTGATCAAACTCATCACAAAACAGACACAGTGTCAGCGAGCTGCCAGAGGTGCAGTTGTGGTCCCTGGTTTTCAGGTACTTGGTCTTCAGCCAGTTACTCCATTCCCTGCACTGGTCACCGGCCCAGTAAATTTCCAGCCTCGCCAGCTTCTTCGCTCTTTGGGGGTATGAATGGTCATTCCTGGTACTTTGACTGAAATCAGTTGTTTTGCTGGCCTCACTCCAGAGACTAACTGAAATCTGGCGGTGTTCCCGCGACAACGGGTGCAGTGCGTTTTTTGACGGACTTCTGGTCGGGATCCATTGCAAATGCCCAAGGTTCTCCTAAGGTGTGTTTGCAGCTCAGAGGTCAGAATAAAATGGAAGGGTTAAATGCCGAGCAGCTGTACGTGAGCAAGGGTGTGGAGCTTCCATTTCCCTGGAGTTGACTGGCAAGTCGTGGGAGAGAGGGGACAAAGGAAGTCGGCCCACTGAATTGTGGGATACTTTTGGCAGACTCCAGGGACCCGAGCCTGGAGGGGGGACTGTATCTACACTGCAAAACAATAGGGTTGAAACCTGGATCCCACCTTGACTTGGGCTCGAACCTTCCCTTGAGGGGTCGTAGGACCCTGGGTCTGAGCCCAAGTCCGAGAGATTTGTGTGTAGACAGAAGGGGGGTTAGGACTTGAGCCTGAGTCAGAGCCCAGGTTTACGTTGCAGTGTAGACACCCCCTCAGTCACAATTGCTCTGCCTCAGCTGGGGAAGATATTTCATCTGTCCCATACCTTCCCCCACTCCCTTCACCCTTATCCAATTACAATAAACTCATCAGATCTCCTCAGCTGCCAGTTGATTCCAGAGCACTTGTCTCATAATCCTGCTAGCTAATGAGCATTCAAACCATTTGCATAACAAAATGAAGAAGGGAAATTAATGACCATTTACTGCTGAAGTATCCATGTTAATTCATTTAAGCAAAGAGGTGCTCAATGTCATGCTCTCAGGAGCGGCAATTCTAGCCTGTGATCTACCAGGACACTCGACTCAATGGCTCCTCCGTTAGAGTCATGTATATAGGGGACGGAAAGCCCTGTGTAGCCATAACTTTGCCACGGCACCATCCATACTTAGCTGCTCTGTTGCCAGTGTGATCACGCCTCCAGTTCCCCCTAGGCATGCAGGTGGGATTCATATTGGAAAATGGTTCTGGAGTCAGACACCCACTGGATAATCTGACAGGCTCAAGACACAGAATAATCAGGCAGGCATCTGAGCAGCAGCGTGGGAAGTTCGTATCCTTCCACCTGCCGCACTCAGAATGGAATTACAGGAGAAGCCTGCAGCGTAATACAGACGAGGCTCTAATCATTGCATCTAATTGCACAGGAAAGAAAAGAACTACAAGACAATTGTCAACATGTCTTACATGTAATGAACAATTGCAACAACAACCCAGAAAACTGTCATTGTGACAGCCTGAGGAGGCACAGGACACGTGGGACCGGGCGCTAGGATAGATCACATCACTGGTGCTGATAGTGTCTCCCTGTGTGACCTTGGGCTGCAATTTTTAAAAGGGGCCACTGATTTGGAATGCCTCCGAGTTAGGTGTTTGACTTGAGTACCCCCAATTCCAATGGACTCCCCCTGCACAGCTACACTGCATGTCAATGTGCCACCACTGTGTCTGCAAATCCAGGAATTGCATTAAAGGGACCTGACCGCAAGTAGCCCTTTGTGCGTGCTGTTACCCATTCTGCAGGAGTCCGCACTGGAACCGACCACCTGTGCAGATACAGTGAATATTTATTTATCAATCTAAGGTGTTTGTCATATAACTAAATTGTTCTGATAATTATTGTAAGTAATGGAATTAATACAATAATAATAGAACCCTAACTATATATAATATACTATAATACTATACTAATGATTATAAAACCTAATTCTGTGACTGAGTTTCACCCCATGTTCAGTGAAGCAGAACTACAGACCATTTCTGCCTTCATCAGCCTTAAGCCCCTGTTAGGACATGTCTTCACAACAGAGTTAAACCAAGCACTTACCTGGGTTTTATCCCGGGGCAAAGCTCTCTACAGTCCAAACACAAAAACCTTCTGCCCAGGTTAAGAGGTGCTTTAACCCCTGGCTAGCTGGTGGCTTGAGAGTCCTCCGGTGCCTTCCCACAGTTCCCCCCACGAAGGGCAAAGTTTCCCGCAATTGACACAACTGTCTGGGAAAAGATCCTAGAGCATCTCAGCACAAGGCGCCATGGGCTCTGCCCCCAGACACGCATGCTGAGTGCAGAAACAGGGAGAACACAGTCACTTGGGCAGGGCTTTGCTGTGGGGCTGCTCACACCCGGGCTAGGCTAACCCAGGCACTGAGACCCACTGGGCTAACTCTGCACCCTCGGAGGCAGGTTACTGGACTGCAGGGATTGCTGGTCCCATGTGATATGTGTTGGGATGAACGTATGTAACCAGAGCTCCGTGATCCATTCCCAGAGGAACCCCATGCTGCTGCTGCCTCTTCTAACCCCACATGGGAAGGTCCCCTCCAGTCCTGGATAAAAACCACAGCTCCTGGCAAACCCCTTTTCCTTCTCACCTTTTTCTCGGCACTGGGGTCCTTCTTGGTCCCTTTAATGAAATCATTTCTCCCCTTCAGGTGTTGCTCATATGCTGTAGGGGTCATGTCGCCCTCTTCCATCAAGACGTGAGGCATATGGGGCTCTGGAAGGTCAGCAGGACAAGCAGAGAACAGCCTTAGAGTGTTTGCAAGAGACGCTGAGGGGCAGAAGTGGGAGACTGCAGCATTCGAGCTGGTGTAAAACCGACAGACCCTGGTCGGTGGCAGGCGGGGTCAAATCTGGGGCCTTTGGAGCTTAGTGCGTGAGCCTTTACTGCATGAGCTAAAAGCCACATGGCTGCTAGCTAAGACTGTAGAACAAACTCATTAATCTCTCTCTCTAAGTGGTCTTGGTGCCACTAGATGGGACAGAACACCGCACCCCAGAGGTGTGTGGGTTACGCTGGCACCTGGGGACTCTGGGACAGCAACAGGCACGTCCCAGTATGTTCAGAGATTTAGTTCACATAGCTGGCCCAACGTTTACCACACGAAAGAGGTATTTACCTCCAACATGCAAAGACAGAGCTAATGGCACCTGCTGCCCAGGCAATGGAATGGGAGGGACCCCCAGAAAGGGGGCGAATAGCAGACAGAAAGCACAGGCCACCTACCGCTCGGATGGATTAATATTTCCACCGGTCTGTCGAAAGTGTGTTTGTTGGCCAGCGTGATCATGATGCTCTTGGCAGAGCGGGCAGAGGGGTCAGCATCAGCTCGGATCTCGTGTGTGGGGCTTTCCACTCCTGCGCAGGAAAGAGGGATGTGACGCGGGTATGTGGTGGGTGGAGAAGCTGTTCAGTGAAGCTGGAATTCGGGGGGGGGCTGGGGCTCAGAGGGCCAGAGGGGGAAAGCAGAGACAGTTGCTGTGCAGAGATGAGGGTACGGCATAAAGGAACCAGGAGGGTTGAATAAGGATCTGTGTGTGCCTATGTGTCTGATCTCCTGTCTACACTCAGGTGCCCAGTTTACCACGTGACAATGCAGGGTGCTGAAGCGTCATTTGCAGAAGTGCAGCCCCAGGAAGAAATAGCAATCCGTGGTGGGAGGGAGATGGTATCACCCGCTCATCAGCGCTGCAGCTGGCGGACAAACAGCTGGTGCCATGGCAGGGTTAACGTGCTGAAACTGACTCTGTGTGGAGGGCTGTTGCCAAAGTTTAGAGGGGGTTGTCAAGCGGACTCGGCTTCAAGGGGCAGCCCTGGTGCTCTCACCTGCGAGTACACAGGGCCCCCGGATCTCCAGGTGGAAGCTGAACTCGTACTCAGTGGGGTTGGTGGCCTCCCTCTCCAGCAGCTGGGCCAGACAGAACTTGTTAGCTGGATCCAGGCTCCCAGCTCCACAGGAATGTCGATCTCTGCTGAGGAGATGACACCAAGTCAAAGCTGCAAACCCTGGGCCTGCCCCGTGCCCTGCACTGCAAATACAGCCCCGCGGCTGGGGGTAAAGCAACTGGCAGCTTCCCTGCCTCCCGCAGCAGCTCCTAATGCAGCCAGCAGCTCATTTCTGCAGGGCTGTGGGCCTAGACAGGAGCCCACCAGCCCCAGCTCCTCTCCTCTCCAACTCAGCCCCAGCAGCTCATGCATCTCAGCCCCTTGGACTCAGCCCCAGGAGCATGTTGGGTGAGCAGGGGGCTGGGGCAGGATGCACCAGTGGGGCACAAAGCAAGAGAGCAAGGCAGATCAAAAGATGAAGATGAGAGCTGGGAAAGGAGAGACAGACAAGGAGAAGGCTAAAGAGTGGCAGCTGGGGCACAAGAGGGGAGCTGAGGGCAGAAGTGGGGAGCTGCGGTGTGCCAATCAACCAGTCTGTTGCAAGGGAGGCTGCTGATAAGAAATGGTGGGGCCCACTGAGCCAGGGAAAATGGGCTTTCATAGAAACGTTCCAATGGCACGTGGCCTGACCTTCAGCTCCTCATAATCTAGGAGGAATTCAAGCCCAACCCTCCAAGCCCAACCAGCCCCCTGCAGGTATAGATAGGAGGGGCCAGGGCTACTCCAGAGAAGGCTGCTGGAGGGATGGGGGCACTTCTACAGCCCTCAGCACCATAGCATCTGGGCCACTCCTCAAAAGCAAACCCGCTCGGAGACTCTGGCTCCCTCTTACGCTCGGAGCTGGTGTCCAGAGAGGCTGGTGCTTTCCACGCCACACTGGGGCACCTTGGGGACACACACGGCTGGGAGAAGGACCCTCACGGCACCGCTCGGGAGAGTCTGCAGCTCCGAGGAGGTGCTGATGAAAACGGACACGCTTTCCAGCGGAGGGATCACACCCAGGTTAGCCACAAAAACGATTCGCTCCAAATCCTCATCCAGCACAATCCTTCCTGCACAGAGAGGTCACGCGGGAGAGATGCTCTGGGTAGACACCAGAGAGGATGCTCCTCTCTGAGGCCATGTCACTGTCCAGGTCTCCCTCCTCCTGCACCAGCCCCTGGTATTTGTTAATCAAATACTAGACAACCCACAGCAACATCCCAGTATCATCAGGTGCATTAGAAGGGCTTCCACAGCCATCCTGCTCTGGGCTGAGATCAGGAAAGGAGACTTGCTTGTCTCTTTGCCGTGACTCAGAAAGGGCCTGATCCAAACCCCCCTGAAGTTAATGCGTTTTTCTAGACTCATATGCTGGAACTTCCAGAACCAATGGAGCCTTTAAAAGCAACTAGAACTTACTCTGATTTTCAGATCTTTTGCTGCCAGTGGTAAGTGCATGCAATGACTTTTCCTGTCCCCAAAGGGACCACGCCGCTTCTGTTCAGTACATGTGCTCCTGACACCACATCACGAGCCTGCATAACGGACAGCCCCTCTGCGATTCCTCTTCCCCTGCCCACTCCTCCCCTGGACCATTCAAACCACAAAGGACTCCTTACCGCTGCCATCCTGAGCTCTTCCACTGGGGAGGCTGCCGCAGTCCAAGTAACAGTCGTCTATTTTGGCTTTGTCTTTGATCTGCACGGTCACAGCCCGCCTGGAAACGACAGCTTCGAACCCAACCACGGTGGTGTACTCATCCAGTGGGTAGACAAAGAGACCTGCCAAAGGGAAGGCTCTTAGAACAGCTGCCCTAGGGGTGAGGTTTCCAACCAGTCCCCACCAACGGTCCCGTGCTCTGGTGTGGTGGCCAAGAGGAGACACACCCTGTTAAAGGTTCCTTCCTCTGGCACCACCAGCCGCAGGAGCAAACACTGGGAGAAGCAAGGAGCCTGGAACTGTAAGCAAAAAACACGAGGGGCCCAATCCTCTCCCAGCTCCAGCACCTTTGCTGTTCAAAGAGGCCAGAATTTGGCCACAGCTCCTCTGCTGAGCTGTTGTGGAGGAGAGCTCAGCTGCCTCCTACTCCCAGCATGCCTCATGCACTTTGGCACATGTCAGAGGAGGGCAGGGACGTGGGCTGGGGAAGGGGCAGGCTGGAGTGCAGCTCTGCTTCACACATTCCCAGCAGGCACAGAGTCCCTTAGGTACCGTAGCCAGCAGTTGTAAGTTAGAAGAGCCTTTAGGCTGCTCTAACCTATGCCAGGGCTGGGGCCGGGGCTGGAGCTGCCATGTCTTGAGAATCAGGTGGCGGTAACTGACTCCCCAGTGCCCCCCACTATGCCAAGCGGTTCTCAGTTCAGGAGTGAATCTGGCCCTGTGACCGTACCGGTAGTAAGTATTGTACCCTGTCCGTAAGGGGGAGGCTGCCGAGCTGGACTCAAGAGGCTGCCATTAACACCAGCCGTGACCAGTCTCCCATACGCACCCCTGAGCCCCATCCATGCCGCCTGCGCCCCAGGGAACAGAGCCTTACCTTCAAAAGGATGGACCTCCGGGTTGCCGTAGGTCAGGGAGGCAGTCATCCCAAAGGCATAGCCGCTGACGCAAGAGGTGACCTCGGAGGCTGTGAGGGGGAGGGGGGAGCTGCTTGTCCAGTTAATGAGCCCTGGCATCCTGCTTATGGGCTCTGGGGTAGCTTGGGTGTCAGGACCTGCGGCAGCCTGGAGAGAGGGGGGGAGGACATGAGACACCTGAGAGAGCCCTGACTGCTGGAGCCCAAAACACTCCCAGCGCCTCAGACAGCCTTGGGGACAGGTAGAAGAGCTGCAGCTCGGATACAGGCCCTTGGCGGCATTAACAATCGGGAGCCTCCCACTCCCAGCAGTGTCTGCAGCCTCAAGGGCTCTGCAGGTACACGACTGTCCCAGAAGCCAGCGTGCAGGGCAGCCTGCACCTTCCCCAGCAGGACCTTCCTCCAGGGGCCTGTACAGAGTTGATAGCAAAAGGTTGAACTGAAGCGGCCTCGGGGCTGAAGACAGGAATCCAGGCAACCACTGGTTCCTAATCGCATTCTGCTGAGCTTCCCTCTCTTCCCTTTGCACAGTGAGGATGGGCCACAGCAGCGCCAAGTGGGACGGGTGCGAGTAAAATGCCCCCCATGGGACCCTTCTGCCCTAAGCTGCACCTGTAACGTTATCTTTTCTAATGGGAGAGGAAGGCTTGTAGGGATAACTATGGGTAGAGGATGGTCCTGGATTTGGCACTGATGCCTCAGCCCCTTACTGTGCCAACAGTGGCATGCATCTCGTGGACCTGGTAGGGGTAGAAAATGGCGATGGTTCTTCCCCTGTACACTTGGGTACTAGAGAACAACTTTGTTCCCGCTTGATAATGAGGAATTCACTTCCTAACCGGTGACAGTGAATGACCAAGTCAGCCCGTGGCATGGAGATGAGTAAACCATTCCCACCATGATGGGAAAGACACCATGAATCCCCATTCCCGGACATGCGCTACAATACCTGGGAACTTTGTAAAGTTAAATCTGCATGGACTGTACCAAGGACATGCTGATATTTCAGGGGCAGGATCAAACTTCCTTCCAGCAGCTGTGCTTCTGCGTATAGCTTTATATTGTGCAGAACTGGGTAACTTTCTCACACACACACCCCTCTGGTTTTTGTTTTCTTTTAAAGTGTAAAGTGTCTCCGTGATAACAAACTACAACCATGAAAGTTCTCATGAAAGAAAGAAACGTGTGGAGATAGGCCGAAAAGAATATCTGTCTATCATTTCTTTGCCCATTACCAGACAGCAACACAATGCTGGCTATATTAATTCACCTTTTTCCCCTGAATTTCAGGGCAAATGCAATGACTCCTCTTCCCCACTCCCCAGGTCTCCACCTCACTCCTGCAAAGTGTGACTCAGTTCATTGCCTCCTTAGCAGAGCTGTTCATACTTAAAGTTGTTGCCTCTAATGTTTCTGTTAATTAAATTTTCCTTGCAACTGTTCTTGCTGCCAGCCCAATCTCTGCTTTAGCTAATCTTCTCCCAGTATGTCCGTCAGCCGGAGGAATTCAGATAAGGATCTTGTGGGTACCTTTCCGTCCAGAACTCACCACACTCGCTCTCTATCAGGAATTCCCAGGGACAGCTGCAGCCTGACTGCTCCTTGGCTGGCTCTGGATGCTTTATGCAACGCTCTGTGTGACCAAGGGGGAGCCAGCCACAGTGAAAGACATCAATTTACCTCTCGTTTCCTGGCCAACTCTGTGTTATTAAATGCACCTTTTGATGCAAATGTCCTGAAAGGCAAACACAACTAGCCATTAGGACCAGGAGCTCACCCGTGCCTTTCAGTGGAAACGCAGCAGAGCTAAGCTGGGCCAACTAGGGTGGGACATAAAGGACTAACCAGGAGTGACTGAGATGAGGATATGGACTTTAAGTACTAGCGAGGGCTAACCAAGATGGGGTACAGAACAAATGAGGCCAGCAAGATGGAGCTATGGGAACCATGGGGTTAATAAGGACTTTGCCAGGATGGGGCTACTTAGTAAGAACATAAGAACAACCATTCTGGGTCAGACCAAAGGTCCATCTAGCCCAGTATCAGCCTGGACGTGGGCTGGACGTGGGCTCCTAGACACTATGGTGACACAAACAATAACAATCCCATCTGGGAAGAAGGCTGGTGGCTGTAATTATTATTATGTGTAGTATGGCAGGACTTAGGAGCTACATGCAGCATCAGGGCCCCATTGGGGTACGTGTTCACAATCCATATAGACAAGCCTGGGAGAAAGAGAGGTGTGATGGGATCTATAAACCCCACCCTGCAACTGCTAATGAAGGGTTAAGAGACCGTCTCAGCTGTGGCTAATTGGCAGACCAGCAACAGCTGGGGTAAGAGCTGCAGACGGAGCACAAAGCTGTGGCCAGGGAGCCTGAAGAGGACTCTGTATCAGCTGTGAAGTGGGTAGGAAGTGGCTAGCACCCCCACCCTGCTCCCGACAAAGCCCTGGAAGGAGTCACTCTGGGAAATGGGCCAAGGGCTGACGAAGGTAGGAAGGGGCCTAGGAAAACAGCAATGAATCTGAGACAGTAGACCTGTTTAGTGCAGGGTCCCTGGGCTGGAGCCCATAGGAGAGGAAGGATCTGTGCTTGCCTCCCTGCCAGCAGGAAAAGGGGTGTAAAAGCCTTCCTCTTGCAAGGGGTTATGGGCTGCAGGGCCCAGGGTGGGCATAAGGTCATTAGCCTGTCTAGTTATTGGACTCTGTAGGGGTGGGGACTGTAAGTGACCTGGCTGGAGGGTGAGTCCTGAGAAGGGGCAAATGGCCACAGGGGTCATCAGGTGTAGATGAGACTGTTGCGTCATGCTGGCCATGCGGGGGTGGACTGGCTGGTGAGCGACCCCTCCACAAGAGCTCCTCCTCCTTGCTTTATGGACGGGGAACTGAGGGGATGTCTACCCCGCAGTTAGATGCGGAGGCTGGCCCATGCCAGGTGACTTGGGCTCGCGGGGCCATTTAATGTGGGCCTAGGCATTTGAGCTCAGGCTGCAGCGTGAGCTCTGGGACCCTCGAGCCCCAGTCGGCTGGCATGAGCCAGCCATGGGTGTCTAATCGCAGTTTAGATGCACCCTGAGAGCGCAAGTGACTCTCACACGTGGCGAGTCAGTGGCCAAGCTGAGCTCCTGCGTTCCCGGCCGCTGCCTTCACCACAGGGCTTCCCCCTGAAGAGAGGGGAGAAGGAGATGAGACGGGGGTGGGGGGTCCTCCCAGCTCCACCTATTCTCCTCCACCAGGGAGAATTTTTACAGAGGAAAATGATGGGAAAGATACTTCTACCCTGCACACCCATTGCTGAGAGATGATGCAAGGCATGAAAAGGCTTCCAGGCTGCCTCGCTGGCTTTCCCAACCTTTCCTGGTGGCCACGAGGGCTGGTGACTCCTACTAGCCTGAAGATCTAAAACCCCCGGAGCAGACACGACTCTGCCTGCCTGCGGTGGCTCTGTTCCCCGCCGCGGCTGTGGGCGGCTGAGTGCTAACAAAGTGCTCCTGCCGCTCAGTGCCATTGACTCGCACTCGATGGCTCTCAGTAGAGAAGGACGTTTCATCCCCCGGGGCCCAGCAGAGCAAAACACTCCTGGGCTCATTTGCAGTCAAGTGGGCAGCGGCGACAGCATTCCCGTAGCTGGCTTCAAACCCGTGCGCCCCGTCAGTCGTTCCCAGTCGGTGTCTTTCATTAGGCTCCTACTGGCTTCCCATTCCTCAGCCCATCCCGCTCCCTCCCAGGTCACACCAGTAGCTACAAGGAGCTTTGCTCTTCCAGGAGATGAGCCCTCTTTGTGGCTGTTACCAGAACTGAAACATGAACAAGTTTTACTAGCCAGTCCCAAGTGGCTTGGGACAGGCAATACCTCAGGCCCACAACACGGGCCTCCTTTCCCCAAGCCCAGCCTGGGAGCTAGGAAACCAGAGAGAACCACAAGGTCTGTCTGTGTCCTACAGCTTCACTAAAGAAACCCCTTTCTAGGCATGACACCCAAGTCCTGCCTCTTATGAGGGGGATGCTCAAGCTGCAGCCAGGTCTGAATTGTGAGCACCAGCTTGGGAGCAACAGGTGCAAGTATTCAGATTGACTTGGCACTGGGAGACAACCTGCCTTTCTTCCACCTCCCCCATGAGCCCAGTAGTTCCCCCTCCCCCAGCCAAAACCCCGCTGTCTGACTCTGCACGTCCCTTTTCCCCTGCAGCAACTGTCCTGGTTTGTCACTTGGAGAATCTGGTTGCTGTAAGGAAGCTGGGAACCTACTGGAGAGGTGTGGGGAGAGCTGGGGGCAATGAGAAGGTTGCAAACAGGGGGAAGAGAGTCAGGGTCCATTGGCAGAACCATGGAGATGGCACTCCAGAGACACTGGGACTAGCTATGGATAGTTATTCAAACCAACCCTCCATCCCTGCTGTATACACGACTGTTTTTGTCCACTCCCTGCAGGAAGGCATTGGCATACTAGGGCTGCAGATTACCAGCTATTTAAAGCTCTCCTTGGAAAGAGGTGCCAAATCCACCTGCAAACATATTCTGTTATGTGTTCAAGGGAAGGGGCTGTTAATGTGTTTTGAATAGGTTCAGTCTGTGGTCCCTCTCCTCCCAACCCGGATGAAGAATTTAGGATCTTGGGGAAAACATAGTCATCCCTGCTGCACGGGGCAGCAGATCCCTGTGCTACCAAGCATGAACACAAGCCACGGCCCCACCACCTCTGTGTTTGCCCATTTCCCCTCCTGTCCATTGCAGCCTTGTTGTTGTTAGAAACCCCCTGTGTGCTAGGCGCTGCACAAACTCATGGCGAGAGACAGCCCCTGCCCCAAAGAGTTCACCGGCTGAACAGCCCATAGAGCGGGAAAGTGACTCCCCCAAGGGCAGACAGCAGAACCAGTTTTAGAACACAGGTCTCTTGACTCAGGCCAAGTCTGCACTGCAGAGCTACATGGGTATAACGAGAAGATATCCACCCCCTGAGCTCTGTAGTTCGACCGACCGCCTCTTGGGGAGGGAGATTAACTACACCGACAGGAGCAGCTCTCCTATCAGCAGAGTAGCATCTTCCACTGTAGCGCTGTACGTGAGGACAAGCCCTCGCAGTCTAACGCCCGACCCACTAGGCCACGTTGCCTCCGTAGGCACTAGGATGGGACTGGTTATTATCT